TTTCATGCTTTGGTCTGAAAGTTCAGAGTGCTATTTACAGTAACTATCACTCATAGAGTTAATAAAGGGACAGTTTGAGCCTGGAAAAGAATTATTTACCTGTCATGATTTCACAGCAAATTCAGTGAGTGAATCCACGGCACATTTGAGAGCTGCATCTCAAATTCTGCCCTTACAAAGGCGCCACATAAAGTGCAGGGAATGAAAATATATCGCAATGCATTGTATTCATTGACACTTTTAGAAATGTTCCTGCGGCTGTTGGGATCTAAGCCAAATGTGAACTTTCATCTTTGCTTTACAAAGTGTGACAAACCTGCTTGGTTTTCATGCTTCAGATACGCTGTACTATTTCCAAAAATCACAGCCATGGAAAACACACACACACACACACACACACACACACACACACACACACACACACCCAAATGCAACATTTCATCTGGATGCCACGCTGCCTACACTGATCCTATTTGAGCTCTAGTAGGAAGTACAGGGCTGCAGTATAGTGGGAGTAGAGGATGTGGATGGAGTGCACAATTTCACCCCCACTTAGTTACTGTTGCTATGTCCGAGAATCTTTCCACATGACCTTTCTGCACACCCTGAAGAAATATCCCATTTTTAGGCAAAGAAGATTTCAGAACTATGCACAGTATGCCTTCAAAGTTACCATACATCAACGTACATAAAGATGGAAGCTGATGCGTGCGCACAGATCACTAAACGTCAACGACTGCACTTGAAATTAATAATGGGTGTTCCTCTAAAGCCGATTAGATCTCAGTTTACTATTACAATCATTCATAAGCAAGAATAGCTTCATCCAGTCTCTGGCACAGGTGGGTGGAGTTGCCAAAAAAAATTTGCAGTGCTGTTACTTTTGAAAATGTGACTTTAAAAATAAATACATATTCACGGTTTGCTAATAACTGGTCCGGCTACCCTCAGCAGCAACAGCTGGAGACATTTTCGCCCACTCTCCCTTGAAAAATTTTATTTTTTATTTTTAATAATTCAGCATGAACGGACTATTTATAGTCATGCCATTTCAATCAGATTAAAGTCCAGACTCCAAAACCTTCAGGATTTTTTTTCAGGAGTTGACTTGCTGGTGTGTTCTGTGTCATTGCCCTGCTGCAGAGCCAAAATACACTTCATCTTGAATACACAAACTGGTGACCAAACATTCTTCCTCAGGCAGAATTCATGGTTCCAGCGATCACAGCAAGTCATCCATGTCCTGAAGTAACAAAGCAGCCCGAGACCATCACATGACTTCAGCCTCCATGTTTGACTGTTTGTATGATGTTCTTTTTTTTTTTCTGAAATTCCGCGCCAGATGTAAGGAGACACACAGCTTCCAAATAGTTTCTTTCATCTTTCATCCCTTCAGTCAACACAAGTTTCTTCCAAAAGTCATGGTCATCATTCATGTCTTGTTTTATTTGCATTTGGTGAGATTTTATTTTCTCTTTAGTCAGCAACACTGGAGGGTTTTTGAGCATGGACAGGCTTTTTTAGGTCCTCCTGCAGCATTTTAATTGGATTCAAGTCCAGACTTTGACCGGGCCACTGTGAAACTTTCAATTCCATTTTTCAACCATTAAGTTCGCTGTCCTGCTGCAGAGCCAAAGTGTTTTTCAGCTGCAGGTCACAGACCACTTCCCCCCATGTTCTAGAGCCTACAAAATCTTCCCCTGAAAGCCCATTAATACTGTGTATATATAAAATTCCACCTGCATTTAGTAGGTTGGCAGGTGGTAATGTCAAGTCCGTTTTACTGTTACAGAGCAAAGCAATAAAGTCAACCTGAAATGTATTTTTGCATTCAATGAAGCCCTGCCAGGAAAGTCTTTGACCTCTGTTCTGTTCTGCTCTCTGATTGGACAGGCTACGTTTTGGCGGGGGGGTTGGCCCTGGGAAAGGTGACTAAGTGGGGGTTGATTCAAACACACTTTGTCCTGTATACAACAGCCTTGTGTGTGAAAGTTGTTCTAAAGCACTCACACTGACATCCAAGCATCACTCAGCAGGCCTCCTGGCATTGTGACAGCACATCGGCATAAAGATTTCATGGAGCAGTAGGGGATGCCGTCTGCGAGCCTTTAAATGTTTTAACATTGCTATTTCTTCCTGCTATGGCGGGAAGTGAGTGTTCTCCTGCCCCGTTCTCTGCCGTGTCGCTGGTCCACTTCCTGTTGGTCCTCAGCGTAACAATCCCCACGAGGCATCGACGCATTGATGTCCATGTGATGTAAGATTGACAGAATGGATGCTCATGTCCCCTGCTCCTAGCGGCTGAGGACACCAACTAGATTTGCATGCGTCTGTCATTTTTGGTTATCTGTGTTAGGGTTTTATAAAACACTTTGAAGTGGAGCTATTTCTCTTGCTCCTGAAAACTAATGATAATCATAATCCACCCATCCATCCGTTTAATAACAATAAATTGCATTTAGCGTCTGACAGAATTCCAATGGTGCTGTTATGAAAACGATGTTTTATTCACTATAAAAACAGTTACTTCAAAAATAACCCAGCTTTTTTTTTTGTTTTGTTTCAAAACATAACCCAATATTTGGGGGTGTTTTGGGGGGGAAAAAATGACTCAGTTTTGTGGGTAGAAAGTTGGGTCAGATTGATCCAAGTAGTGGATCGGTCTCCTTTTTTTATTTTATTTTTTTTAACCCAATTTGAGTTATTTTTTGACCGACTTATTTTTATGTGCTCTTTATTTTTTATTTTTATATAGACTATATACAGTGTATATGTATATAGATAGATAGATAGATAGATAGATAGATAGATAGATAGATGCCACAAATTCTCACTTCACATGTTTCTTGTGTGAAAAAAGAACATCCAGGACCATAAAGTGGTGATACTATAGTACCTTCGTGCCAGTTATTCAGTGATTCCCATTCCTTCTATCCAAATCTGTACAGGGACTCACTCATGATGGAGTATGCCAATGTGCGCCCAAAGATGGAGGCCGAGCTAACTTTCATCTTTCATCATCTTAATAAAACAGCCGCACTGACAGAGATTTCATTCGACAGCCGTCGCCCACTCGCGCACACACACACTCTGTCGTTTTCTCACAGTTCTTTTTTCACACTTCTTGGCCTCTCTCTGACAGATCGCTTTCCACGCACGCACACGCACTCACCGGATTGAAAATGGGATGTAAGAGCCCCCGTTAAATGTAATCCAAGGAGGGCATCCAACATGATGACCTGTCAGCACAAAACTCCCTCAAATAATTCACTTTAGTTCCACGCAGTCCAGTTAACCACACATGGACAGCTCGACCCCGAGTGATGCCCTCATAGAGTAAATTGACCTTCGTACTGTCTATGCTTACCTGTACATTAAAAGTAGCAAAGAGCGTCTTTTCGTCATGCAATTTCACCATTTGAGTTAAACTATTGAACTAGATTGTGTTTTTCAATCTTTTTCGAGCCAAGGCACATTTCTTTCATTGAAAAAAATGTCGCAGCACACCACTAGCTGAAAATGTGAGAACAGTTTATTTTCACAATTAAGTTTCATTATAAGCGTTTTTTTAACATTGAAAAATAACGCTATAACACCTTGAATAGGAATCAAATCAACATCAATCAAATATTTTATAATCTTTCATATTCATTCCCACTCAGTGTGATAAATGGTTTGGATGGAAACAGATCTGATATCCTGGCTGCAATCGATGAAAGACACAGAAGTAGCTCTTATTCTTTCTATGTTTTTAGTTTTTACAGCAGTCAGGCTATTTCTTTAGCCGCTTCGGGTCAGAACATCTCATTTACAATGGCTTTGCAGGAGGGAAGTATTAATTGCTCTGCCTTTGGGACTTTTTGGATTTCGCCACATGTTCAGCGACATGGTAACTTGCTTTCTCGTTTACCTTTGCTGTTTTTCTCATCCACGTTGCTTGTTTCTCCGTGTATTCACGCAGGCGAACAAAATACTGCACATTTTTGTTTCGAAGTGAAGGGTGTTTTGTTTGGGGATGGAGCTGCAACTTAGAGGGGGCTGTTAGAGAGCTTTTCACCACATGCCAAGCACTCCGGAGTCGGTGCCGTTGCATCTCCGGTAAAAGTAAATCCAAATGAACGAAAGCTTTCCTTGTATTGCCTCGCACGAGAAACTTCGCTTGTCTCGAAGTACAAGGCAATAAGCGAGCTGCTGCTGCTACCTACCGGTATGGAAGAGTATTACATGATTACTCTGACCGGCGATAGACCCCGCAGGCTTACATATTGGATAATATCCCACGGCACACCTGACAATATCTCGCGGCACACCAGTGTACCGCGGTACAGGATTTACTAAGTCTACTTAGTAGACTGTGCGGATTATGTTAGCAAAATCAATATATAAGTTGAATATTATAGGTGATTGTTTCCCCCAAGTTGAACACCCTTGGCAGTGGGTGTTCTTTTTTTTCAACTGCCAAAAATGTCTGACAGCGTGTGTGTGTGTGTGTGTGTGTGTGTGTGTGTGTGTGTGTGTGTGTGTGCGCGCGCGCAGAGAAATAACACTACAACAGGCATTTGCATGTCAAAACGTTTAATAGACTGCAATAAAAAGGATAAAAATCATAAAGGGGAGACGTTAAAATCAAATGCAGTATGATGAACTCATGTTCGTCCAGTTCATGCAAAATGAATGAAGGCACTTTCAGTTCATCAGGCCACCAATATTCAGTACACCGTTTCCCTCTTATGGTCATGTGGCAGTACTACAACACTCATCTCACTGCGATGTACTCATGAAAAAAGCTCGTTTTTTTTTTTTTTTTTTGCACTGTGCAGTAAATACAGATGTCAACATTCAAAACTCCATTTTGAAAAGATAACACTTTTAATGTAGGAATTTCGTTGACTTAATTTAATTATTTAATTAATGTTTGTATTTCGTGTGTATTTCATTCATTCATTCATGCTTTTAAGCCAAACCTCTTTTAACAAAACAAAACAAACTCCAAAGTCGTTTTGAAATAGGAGGTTTGAATTGAAAAAAAAAATGCACAACCTCCATTTTCTTCTACAAAGGCAGATGTGAAATTTGTGAAAATATAAATGTCGAACTGTATACAAAGATCCTTCAGTGTTTGCAGACACCCGTTCAATTGTTTCTTAAGTCACACGCAAACAAAAGTGAAAGAGAGTAACTATCACACATTTACACACAAACACATACAGTGTTGTAAAACGAAGAATATGAACATAGTAACAAGAAAAATAAAGGTTCTGTGTATGGAAAAATAGATCAAATGCAATCGGAATCTTTGCTAGTTTGTCAAAATAAGTGAACGGGCATGAGTGTAATACTGGCACCTTTAGTGAGAGTGCAACTCCTTCACTCCTCACAGAAATAGCAAATAATCAAACCTGCATAAAACTTTGAACCCTGTGTTACATAGACATGGCAGAAATTGCCCTTGAGCCACATTTGTGTCTGGGAGGGGTCCAGCAAAGATTATGACAAAAGTCTGCTTTAGGTTTTGGTCTTTGAGAAAATACCAGCGTGGGCTAAACAGTCCAGTGCATTGAAGAATAACATGTTGAATTCTGGATTGGTTTGACCCTCATTGCACGAATCAGATCATGAAGGACTGAGTTGGTTTGTAGGTCTTGATCTATGGAGAACGCAAAGAAAAACAAATACGTTCTTTGAATTAGCCAGGGCCTTCGGTCATCAGCGAGACATTAACGGCAACACAAACAACTCACATTGTGGATGGGTGGAGGAGGAGGAGGGTTGTACGACTTGGCGCTGCAAGACAAACTGTACAAGTTGCTTAAATGTCCAAAAATGGTTGGGCAAAACAAAAGACGAGCAACTCACCTTTTTGTTTTCTTCTCTTCTGGTTGGAGGGAGAAAAATGAGATTATGGTCAGGCATTCGCATTGTCAAAATCGTGCAAGACATTGATGAGAGTAGACAGATTCCTCGCTCACAGAATAAATGCTCCCATTGTCATTTTTTAAAATAAAACCCCTTATATACGCTCTATAAATCTCACAGAATTTGTATGTGTGGCTTGGTTTCACAGTATGACCCTCTACGGCTATAATATGTTCCACCAATTGATTGTTATGCTTCCAATTGGTGTATACTACATCACTCTAAAAACATTTGGGTCAAAAATGGACCGATCCACTACTTGGATCATTGGACTGAACTACCCAGGTTTTTTTTTTTTTTTGCATACAAAAATAATGCAGAATTTTATATAAAACAACGTTGAAAATTTGGACTTCTGGTTGTGTTTAGCGCATATTTCTCACTCTTGGTTTTCAAAGTGCATATGGCAGCGACGGTAAGACATTACTCACTCTTGCAGCATCCTTGACGTCGGCATACACACACACAGATGCAGCAGAGGAGCGTGAGAACCACAAAACCTGAAGCGCCAGCGATCAAAATGGCGGTATCCACCGGATCTGTACCCCCCACAAAAAAAAAAAAAAAAAAAAAAAAATCTCTCGTCAGTACACATGTAAAGCACAGAAGAGTAAGGGCACGAGTGGGGAAACTCAACTTACAGTCAATAACTTTTAGTTGTTGTGCCACGCAGCTTTTGGGTGCCCCCACACTGTTGGAGGACTCGCAGCGATACATCCCAGAATCCACTTTGGAAACGCTTGTAAACTTCTGCTCCGGGCAAAGAGTGAAAGAGAGAGGAAGAGCAACAGCTGCACATGTGTCCCTTCGCGGGTCCATACGAATGCACAAGTGTGTGCTTTGTGCTCGGCGCGCCATGTGTCACGCAGCGGGAGCTCACTCACCAGGGTGCCTCTGCGCGTGTCCATGCTGTACGGCGTGTTGGACGAGACCTTCAGGGCCCTGTTATCTTTGTACCAGCTGTACGTCGCCGGGGGCACGCTCTGCTTGTCTTTGCACAGGAGCTCCAGGTCGGAGCCCACAAACACCGAGTGGGGCACTTCGCAAGACGGGATGTGGGGCGGCACTGAGGATACACACAACAGCAGCATTTGCAGAATACCTAAATTACATATCCGTAACATCTAAAAAGACAAGTTAGTTGAAATTACGTCGTGACAAAATTCTGTTAAAACATTCTGGCCCGCATCTCGTGCTTCTATTGGATTTTCGGGAAACCACCGCAACCGAGGAAAACCAACCAATCAGAGACAGAAGGTGTGACCGATGAGGTCGCAATCATTTGTTGTGCACTCACAGACACATTTGTAGCGAGCACAGTCCGCTGACCTGTTACCTTTGGCTTCAGGGACAATGCTGAAACTATAGCGGAATAGCCACAACCAGACAACTAAAAATTTTTTTTTTTTTTAATGCAAACACAAGCACAGTGAGGGGACCTCGGGCCACTTGCAGCAGTGGTTCTCACCTGTTCTTGTGGTTGTCCCTCATATTGAGAGAGGTTTCTAATTTCCTTTGGTGTCCAAAATAATACTGCAGCTAAAATAATAATTAGCTGCAGTACAAACTCTAACCCAAATATTCCGTTCAATGAATCCCCTGAATTGTTTTTTTTTTTTTTATACCGTGTACATCGAGGGTGACGGTGGCCTCTCCGAAGCTGACGTGGTCATCGCCGGCGGTCACCTCACAGCGATACTCCCCGGAGTCTTTTTGTGTCACAGAGTGGATGGTCAGAGTGGCTCCCTCCATTTTGGCCCGGCCTGCATACGAGCCTGCGGTGATGGGAAATCAGCGAAAAAAGAAATTGCTGTTTCAAACATCGAAAAACGGGGAGAGAAGTCGTCACCCACTGGTAAATTTGTGATTGAAGTAGACAAAGGTCACGGCTTTTTCTTTCTTCTTCCACTCAATTCGAGGATTCTGGTCCTTCTCAGTGCGAAAGTCGCAGGACAGAACAGCATCTGGAAGGTCAGGACAAGCTTAAGTGGACATGTGCAGCATGACACGGCTGCGTTTGTTATTTCTATGTGGTGCCTCGGAATACGATTTACTTCTTAGCCCCTTTTATACTGTCTGTTTTGCCGGAATTTTTATTTATTTATTTATTTTTCCGCAGTCGGCCAACTATTTTGTACATGTTTCCGTCGACACATCTGAATTTGGGTTGTCATGCTGCTGGGTGAAATCACGCAAGGTTTTGCAGCAAGAAGGCTCCTTTGTTTGCTTCATTCAGATTCACACACAGCAAAGTGGAGATGATGTGCTCTTACCTGTGTGTTCATGGACCTCCACTTTAGTTTTTGGAGAGCTCACCGTCACTGACATACTGACCGGACCTGCGAGAAGCAAAATGAACGATGAACGTTACATTGACAGTTGCCATTTTGATAGCGCGTGTCCTCACGAGGGCTGATGATATATGTGCTGTAGCCTATCCCAGCTGACTTTGGGCGAGGCTTCGGGTACACCCTGGATTGGTTCACCAAACAACTATTCATACGCAGGATTTTGACGGCGCTAAAGCTCATCTTTTTGGAACGTGAGAGGAAGCAGGAGGAAACTCACACAACCACGAGCTTACAGAAGAAGATTTGAACCCAGAACTTCAGAACTGTTCGCCAGACATGCTAACCATGAGGATAGCATGCTGCCTGTGTTGCTTTGTAATGTTTAAAAAAAAAATACATAAACTGTTGAAAACTCATTTTTAAAAATATATTTTAAAAGAAGAATCATTTCCTGAACGTTCTGAATTCCTGTTTCCACTGCTTGAACCAGAACTTCAGAACTGTTCGCCAGACATGCTAACCGTGTTGCTTTGTAATGTTGAAAAAATATATATTAACTGTTGAAGACTCATTTTTTAAAATATATTTTAAATGCCACGGAAGAATCATTTCCTGAATGTTCTGAATTCCTGTTTCCACTGCTTGACTTCAAGATGGCGCCGCTCCTTTCAGAACTTTGCTGCTGTAAATTGGGAATTTTCCCATTATGAGACGAATAAAGCTTTTCTTATTCTTCTTATTATTATTATTGATTGATTCTTCTTCTTTCTTCCTTTCATAACTTTGCTGCTGGAAATTGAGAATTTCCCCATTGTGAGACAAATAAAACTTTTCTTCTTCTTCTTATTATTATTATTATTGATTGGGGAGAAGAATACCGCCTGCCATAGATTAGATGCAGCTCACCTTAGCATTGGCTAGTATCATGTTTTTGATTATAATCAAGCCAATATTTATCTGAAAACTGTCCAAATATGCCCAAACCAGTAACTGAACCATTTTAAAAAGGTTGGTAAGTGTAACATCAATCCCTCTCGTGTTATATAGCTTGATTGTCTTTTTGTAGCTTTTTTTAAATCACAAAAGATTGCCAAATAAACAACAACAAGTGTACAATTGGATCCGATTATGCCATTAACCGATGTAATATTCGATAGAAGAATCGACTCAAAAGCATTCAATTGAAATCCCAGAAAGATTTATAGCCAAATAGATTTCTTTCTTTGATATTTCCGCATCTCAACCCAAATACACAATTTGTGAGGGGATTGCCAGTGAGTGAGTGAGTGAGTGAGTGTGCGTGCGTGCGTGCGTGCGTGCGTGCGTGCGTGCGTGCGCGTGTGCGTGTGTGCGCGTGTGTGCGTGTGCGCGTGTGGTGCCTGCCGGTACCAGGAGGGCTGCTGTTTTGGAATGTAAAAGTGATGGACGACTTTCAGACAGGGTGGGTTCAAGGCAATACTGATAACGTCCTTCTCAAGCGTTCGCTCACACACAAAAAGCCGGAGTAAAAAAAAAAAAAAAAAAAGAATGAAGTCAATTTAAAGTATTTGAGCACATTTGATTTGAATGTCCAACTATACGGTACACTACACTAACCGTACACTTGCACCGTTTTAACAAGAGCCAATGCGAGACCTGCTTCAGAAAAGTAGCATTTTAACTGCATGGTTAATTATGGATGTGACGTAATCACATTAAACCGACCCAACTTCAAAAGGGAATTCACTGATGATAAATCGCGGTCAACGGGGGAATAATCTGCATTATAAAGACCACGTGACTCTCATCAGCCTCGCGCATCACCGCTTCAAACAGCATCAGAAACCCGGTTCAGTGTAAACGCAACCGCTCCTTGCCTCTCAAGACCCTTCACAACTGTTTTACAAACGTGAAATTGACGACCAAAAAAAGTACAACAAGAAAATAAAACATGACCTCAGACGAACTGTCACCAAAAAGTCCAAAACTATTGAACTGTTTCAAGACACGCTGGAAGTTTACAAAACATAATCACCACCATATCTATATTTTATTTAGCTTGGACTTTACTTGATAGTCTTTATAGTCGACATAAATACCACAAACATTATTGTCACTCACTTTCAAAGTTACCTGAACAAACGCTGTGGACAGCATGCTCGATTGCACGTGCAGCTTTTTTTTTTTGCACATGCAATCGATCAGCAAACTATTTGCACGTTCACACAACTTGAACAGAGAACAAAACATGCAAAAAAATGCCGCTTTTTGAGCACTCACAGTGTATGCAGAGTAGTAAAAGAAAGAATATCATCATCATCGTCATCGTCGTCTTCTCGTCTGTCGCTACGCGTGAGTTCGCTCGTGCTCGCTTTGCAAGTGTGTGAGCCTTCTTAAATTTCACATACACACACACAAACAAGAGAGGGCGAAAAAAAAAAGGCGCGAGCGCGGGCTGTGGAGCAGATGACGACACGTGACCGTGACGACACTTTGTTTGGCTTCATCATCATCATCATCATCATCACCACCACCATCACCTTCATCTTCGCCATCGTCATCGCCGTCATCATCATAAGTGGTAGTGGTGGTAGTAGTAGTCGGAGCTAGTACAGTGCTGTGTAATATTATTTTACTCTTTCCTGATTTTTGTATGTTTATCGCATACAAAGGTTTCAGTTCATCAAACCAATTTCAATATTACACAGAGGAATATAAAGGAAATTCAAAATGCAGTTTCTAAATGACAATTCAATTTATCAAGGCACAAAAAAAAATCCCAACCTTTCTGAGCCTCTGTGAAAAATTATTACTCCTTGTTAAATCACAAAGCAAAAGTTTTGGGAAAGCTAAGTTCAATTTCCCGAGCAACATTCTAGTACCACATTTGTTGAATCAATAAATCAAGTAAATAGAATCTGCCACACAAAGTGAATTAAGCTACATGATCTCAAGAAACAAAGGCACCATGCCACGATCTGAAGAAATTCAAGAAATTGGGGAAAAAAATTCTTGAAATCTATCAGTCTGGAAAAAGTTACAAAGCCATTTCCAAGACGCTGGGACTTCAGTCAACCACTGTAAGAGCCATTATCCACAAATGGAAAAAAAAATGGGAACAGTGGCAAACATTCCCAGGGTTGGTCGACCAGCTAAAATTACTCCAAGCGTGCAATGACGACTCACCCAGGAGTTTGCAAAAGAACTTAGAACAATACCACAAAAACTCCAGACCTCGCTGACCATAGTTCAGGTCAGCGTTCAAGCATAAGAAAAACATTGGCCAAAAACGGCAGCGATTGGAGAGTTCCCAGGCGAAAACCACTGCTGTCCAAAAAGAACACATTTGCCAAAAGATATCATGATTATCCTCAAGACTTTTGGAGAAACATTCTGTGGATTCATGAACCCAAAATTGAACTTTTTGGAAGATGTGTGGGTCGTTACATCTGGGCTAAAAATCGCACAGCATTTGATAAAAAGAACATTAGGTCAACAGTGAAGCATGGTGGTAGCAGTGTGATGGTCTGTGGCTGCTTTGCTACTACTGGACGAGGACAACTTCTTATGATTGATGGGACAATGAATTCTGCTGCCTACCAGAAAGTCCTGGAGGAAAACATCCGACAATCAGGTTGCGCCCTCAAACTCAAGCGCGCTTGGATCATGCAGCGGGTCAACGATCCGAAACACATCAGCAAGTCCATCTCTGAATGGCTAATAATAATAATAATAATAATTACGGTTTTGGAGTGCCCAAGCAGCTGGACATTAGGATTCAAAACAACAAGAGACTATGTGTAAAATATAGTAAAATGTGATATTTATGGACAATACAGTATACATTTGTATAAAATAAAAAAAATACTAATTGTAGTGTTCAAAAAGAGTAGCATATTAAACATAATTTTAAGACTTCGAAACCTTCATGTTTAAGGCACAAAGTTGCACTTATAATAAGAAACATTTACAAGAAAAAAAAATCACATTTTTATGAGAGCAACTTGTAATTTTACAATAAAATGTCATGATTTTATGAGTGGCAATTTTGCATGAAAAAGTCTTAGTTTTGTAAGAATAAAGTTGAAATTGTTTTGGTAATGATGTGGCAATTTTACCAGAAAAACTGTCCGAATTTTATGAGAGTAAAGTTGTAATTTGAAGAAAAGAAAATTGTTATTTTACAAGGAATAAGTTTCAGTTCTATAACAGTCAATTCGCAATTTTATGACAATTCATTTGGAATTTTATCATAATAAAGACAACGTTTTATGTCAGTCAAGTTGCAATTTTCTGAACGTTCTCAAAAAAAAAAAAAAAAGATGAAAATAAACGATTCCAGTTACACTCAAAGTTGTGGTACTTCTCTGAGGAAAACAATACAAGGATAGAGAGTTGGACGGACGGATGGACGGTCGCACGGACAGACAGACAGACAGACAGACAGAAAGACAGACAAACAAATAGCTTGCTAGCTAGCAAGCTAGATAGATAGCCTGTCCGCCTGTCCAGTATGGCTGCATGTGAAAATGAAAGGGGAGGTGGGCCAGCTGGTCATGCTGGGGCCTGCTGGTGTCATCGCCATGTTTTGGTGCAGCAGAAGAAACAGAGAAGAAGAAGCAGCTGCTGCTCAAGCTCCAACCGTGTCCTTGCGGATTGGGTTTCCCCTCCTGCATGGCCCACACAAGCGCCCATTGTCGCGTGCGCTGCTTGCCTGTGCCACATGCTTACATTTGGGGCCATATGCGCGCACACAAAAAGACAGGGGGTACAAACGCACCAAATCTTCACCGCCGCACCTGTTCACTCGGTCAGCTGTCGTCCTGTGACAGACACACACACACACACACACACACACACACACACACACACACACATATACACACACACACACACACGACCCTTTGCACAGGCGTGTAGTCCACCCTCACATGATAAATCCCATTGGAAGCGAATCATCAGGTACAGCTACAAAATTAAATGACTTCCATAACTAGGGTGGAGAAGCGTTCCTAATATTTTGGTTGCCTTATTTAGTTACATGAGAAGGGGGTAAAAGTATCATGCAATAAAAGTGGTGGTGGGGCAGGACCAGCAAGGCCTCAACTTTTTAAAAAAATGCTGTAATGTTTCTTTAAGCACGCTCCATAAGGTTGAGCTCCACAAAAACAAAGTAATATCATCCTCAAATATCCAACCAAACATTTTTTGTCACATCGCATTACCGTAATTGAATGGCTATTTTGCTGCTCCTTTTGGCCACCTGGGGTCGCTATAAAATAACCAAACGGATATACTTTTAAATGAGACGTCTCAACTCTCAGATCATCAGTACAGCCCCAATATTGGTCATTCATCACTACTAATGTAACGATATCCAAACATCACTAAACGATAATTTGCACGGTATTGGGGGATGGTTGGTAATGTAACGATATCCAAACATCACTAAACGATAATTAGCACGGTATTGGGGGAAGGTTGGTGATATAAACAAGCTGACATTACTCACGATATTGTCAAGAAAAAGCTCATGTTGTGTTTCAGAGTAACAGCAGTTCCAAAGAAATAGTCTTGCCTCGTCACTTTATTGTCATGCGTTGTTATGAGCTCAACAGTGCAAAGTATCCTGGTCTATGTAGTTCACAATGCTGTGTTTGGGTGGTTGGACACGTGAATGCAGCAGACTGCACTTAGGTGACAACTGGTGCAATGCCTGTCTGTGTCCACGTGGTGGCGCTACGTTCCTAGTTTGGCAGCTCATGGAGCACTGATCACTGCAAACTACTGTATTCCAAGATGGCCCCCCCCCCCCCTCCACGCCCCTCCGCGTAATTTATCTGGGAAAGGCTCCAGCACAGCCACGACCCTACTGAGGATAAGCCAGATGGATGGATGTGTCACCAAAGGTTGCCCACCCCTGGTGACTAGCATGATTCCACGGCGGTGAACTTTAAGCAGGACTTATGACAAACATATTTATAGAATCATGTATTGTTGGTTTGTCACAAATAAGCAATTAAAACAGCGTGAGTTTTTTGTGGCAGTAAATCAGTCATCGTGCAGCAGCGGACAACTGAAATAGAGCCCCACTGTAATCCCGCAGAGGAGGAGAGCTGCTAATGCTCTGACTGGTTATTACACATGCCTTTTCCATGACTGTGACAGAGTGAAACTCACTGATGACACTAATGCTTGCCATCTAAAAAGAAGTGTCATTTCCAGAAGCAGCATGTGTCCTCTAATCTCTTGTGATGTGACCTTTTTAACCGCGTTGAGTAACTTGTTACCAACACAAATCATTAGCATTAACACAAGAGCATGACACTGGAGTTGGAGTCAGACCACATAGTTGAAAACGGAATCCTGACACTGTGGCCAAAGATGAAGTATTTGTTCATATTGGCATACAAACATCTATCTATCCATTTTCTGATCCGCTTTATCCTCACAAGGGTAACGGGGGGTGCTGGAGCATATCCCAGCGGTCTTCGGGCAGTAGGCGGGGGACACCCTGAACCGGTTGCCAGCCAATCGCAGGGCACACAAAGACGGACAACCATCCGCGCTCACATTCACATCTACGGTCAATTTAGAGTGTACCATTAACCTGCCACGCATGTTTTTGGCATGAGGAAGGAAACCGGAATACCCGGAGAAAACCCACACAGGCACGGGGTGAACATGCAAATCGAACCGGAATCGTAATCGAACCCTGCACCACTGCGCAGTGAGGCCGACGCGCGAACCAGTCGACCAACAGGCCGCCCGATTTTTTAATTATTCTCAAAAAAATGAGGTAATACTATATTATGAAGCTGCCGGTTAAATATTTGTTTCCATGATCAATGTATTGGGAGAAAAAAAATAATCATACTGTATATCAGCCAATAGTAAACGATATAAATATATTTTAATTACCGATATGTACAAAATGTATATACTGTAGAAAATACTACTACTACTACTACTACTAATAATAATAATAATAATAGTTGTTGTTATTATTATTATTCATGTTAATAGGAAATCTAAAGTGTAAGGTTGACGATGATGATGATGATGATGATGCTGAGGCATCCTCTCTCCCCGGCAGAGATGAGAGGCGTGTCCCATGGTGCTGCCTCAGTCTATAAACACGAGAGCAAGGGCGAGAGGCGCAGAAAGAGTCAAAAAAGAGGAGGAAGGTTCTGGTCAACTGCTTCACAAAAGGTATGTTTCATTTTACATATGATGCACACGATGGAATGCATTTCAAGGGGAATTGCGCGAATGAGTGAGATGATGTTTTATATGGGCTATTAATTGTTTTGCAAAGACAGTAACTGCAGTCAGTGCTCACGCTGTAAATAAATACATGGATGTGGAGGGCTTAAAGCAGCTGTGTTTGTCGGGGGGGTCCATTGGCGACCACAGGGACTATCACACTAAGTCCAGTTCATTCCAAAACCGTCAAGGCTTTTCGTGAGCTTATACTCAAAGCATACATCATCAATCTGGGAATCGGCACCGAAAACAAACGGGAGGATGAACGGTATCAATTTTCTACATGCAAAATTTTCACATTGTTACACTGCCAAAACGGCAGTGGGAGCCCAGATGTATGTTCTAACATTTCAATTTTAAAGTTGTAAGATGACCCCAAAAAATTGTTTGAATATTGGGAAAAAAGCGTTGTGAAGTTTCATGTGTTGCATGCACGGTATCTCAACTGGAAGCACCTCAGTGATGGGAGTTGCGCCTTCGCAGTTTCCCAGTTTTCCATGGAGGGAGTTTCCTCAATTAGTTCGACAGTCCTTCGAAAGCAACCTGAGAAGGAGAATGCGGCAGGTGATGGGATCCACAATGAAAGGATGAGAAGCACCGATGACGGTATACGTCCGGTATGCATTTCTATCTCAGCTCAATTATCATGTTCACTTTTGGCTCATGTTGGTGTGTGTGTGTGTGTGTGTGTGTGTGTGTCGTCAGACTGTCAAGTGACAGCGGTGGAAAAGCGTCACGTCTGGGAGTCAAGTGTTTATGATGCAATGCAAAAAGAGGCCTTCTATTTCGTGGGTCATCGCATCTGCATCCGGGAGGCCACGGATAGCTTTGGCGCGCTCGTCTGGCCTGGAGTAAGTTGGTTATGAAAATTCGAGGGGCGGGTTAAAATTTATAATGTATCGCTATACTTTCAATTATTTCATACTCAGCGTCAACTATACGCTCGTCTGGCCTGGAGTAAGTTGGTTATGAAAATTCAAGGGGGTGTTAAAATTTATAATGTATCGCTATACTTTCAATATTTCAAACTCAGTGTCAACTATACATAGATTTTCACTATTCGCAGGCCGGCCCGGTCCCTATTCCCCACAAATAGCGGGGATCCATTGTATTTTTAAGTGTGTTCTTTTTCACGCAGGCACTAGCGTTGTGCCACTACCTGGAGAACAATCAGCAACAGGTCAACCTGATGGACAAAGCGGTGCTGGAGATTGGAGCAGGCACTGGTTTGCTGTCAGTAGTGGTGAGCTTGCTTGGTAAGATCTGACCCTCAGAAGCCTCTGCACCTTTTGCGTTTCTTTCAGATTAAAAGTAAGATAAGTGACATTTTTACATTTCAGATATTTCCAAATTTTGGACATTTTAATTTGCTGTAGAAAATAACAGAGAGCTAATTCCTTGTTTACATTTTCATTAACTTTTTAAGACATGCTGGTGAGCCTGGGAGACCCCTGAACACTGTTAGAAATTTTGAACAAAGATGTCGATCGAGGATTTAAAATAATAAATAAATAAAATCAGCATTTTGCAAAGTAATGTTGTTTAATAAAGATGGGTATATGTTTAGATGTAATCATTGGAAAGAAAGCTTTAAATAAATAAAATATTAAATGAAATGAAATAAATTATATTCATAATAAAAACTCATAAAGTTTTAAGTCAATGTTCGAACAAAAACAAAATCCTAATATCAATCAATCCCATAATATTGTGGACAAAAGTTGTAATATTGCGGGAGCGGTGTTAGTGTTCGATTAAATTGAATGTATAAATATTCATAAAATCATATTACCACCCCTCAAAAAGTAGAAAAGACACAAAAAGAAAGTAATAAATGGTCGCCATTGCTATAGAAGATGAAAAAAAAGACATTTCACCGTAATCATAAGTACAAGTTTTTCACTACCTCGTTTTGCTTCTCTGATCAAGGTGCTTGGGTGACAGCGACGGATCTTCCCGACATTTTACCGAATCTGTCTTTCAACTTGATTCGGAACACCCAGGGTCGTTCACGACACACGCCGCAAGTTAAGGCCCTCACCTGGGGTCGCCACCATCCACGAGACTTCCCCCAGTCGACCCGCCGCTACGACTACGTGCTAGCTGCAGACGTGGTTTATCCCCACGGAGACCTGGACGGGCTGCTGGACACAATGTGCCATTTCTGTCCGCCAGGGGGCGACACCACCCTCCTGTGGGCCAACAAAGTTCGCTTCCAGTCGGACATGAGGTTCACCGAGCGCTTCCAGAGAACTTTCCACGCCACGCTGCTTGCAGAGTTCCCGCAGCAGGAAGTGAGGATTTACAAGGCCACCGCCAAGGAGTGACAATCAGAAAGGAAATTCCGATATTTAAACGTGTTTTCGATTTACATACAGTAAAATTAGTTCCACACAAATTTTTTTATTTTATAAATTATAAAAATGACAAGAATTAAGAATTGTCTCAAAAATCGTTATCATAACACCGTATCCTGATTAAATAAAACAAAAAAGAAATATAAATCTGCCGAATAACTAACATTGTTCATACTCCCAAAATGTCGATGAGAGCGCCGCCGACTGAAGCGGAGGTAGATTGCACTTTATTCTAAAATTCATAACGTTATAGAAATAGTCAGACTACTTAATTAACTCAGAAAAGTACAAGAATTAAATGCGTAAGACTCAATGCTTCAAAAATGAGTTACTGGAATTATGTCGGAAGACTGCAAAAAAAATAACATTCACAAAGAAATGCAGTCAGAATAATACTAAAATAAGTAATAATTCAGTCAGAACATTTCTAAAAAAAAGTTGTAATATTACGAAATAAAGTTGAAATGTTACATTTAAAAGTTAAAAGCTACTAATGTTGAACGATTGCAAATAAGTTGTTCAGTGATAGTATTGTGGAAGTAAGTGGTAAAGTTACTATAACAAAGTCAGATGGGGGGAAAAAAACTCAAATTACAAAATGTAATATGTATTAGAAAAAGTCAAAAAGTTAAAGTTGGAGTATTACAAAAACAACAAAATATGCAAAAAGATTATGCAAAAATGTAAAATAAATTGAAACACTAAAGATGGAATATTTATTTTAAAAGAAATCAGAATATTACTCAAGGTAGTCCTGAGCTACAAAACTAAAGCTGTGATATGAAAAATAAAGACAGATAGACAAAATATATTACGGGAATAACGTGTATGTCCTCATATTAAAATAAGCGCAAATGTTTTGATTTTACACTCCAGAAAAAAAAACTGGTTCCACACTTCAACTGCTAGTTTTATTGAAACACAATTTAATAGACTACATAATGACTTTTTTTTTTTTAAACCTGCCCAGAACATTTTCTCTACATGGATATTTGCCTTACATTGTTCCCCCCAAAAAATGTAATTATGAATCTTACAGTACAGAACTATCCATCTGGTCCCTCGTCTTTGGATTGTCCATCACCAGCATTTTGTAGAGCAGAATACAGCAATGACTAAGAAACAAAATCAGTTGTCATAAATTTCAGGGAGCACAAGAAACAGAGACACATAACAAGGACTTGATCAGCATATCACATTGACGGGCATTCCCGCTTGTCGATCCGCTTCGCTGTTGCTTCCCGTCGTCTGCAGATCCCGCAAAAGAAAACTCAAGGGCGGTCCCTGTGCATTTCAGTCATCGCTGTCGAGTGACCCGCTAGGACACGCAGCAGGTGGACGACTTGGGCTGCTCTAGTATGGACTCCCTGCGCAGGTCGTTGGGGACTCCGCCCTCGGGGCCCCACACGTTGAGCTCGCCGTAAACGCCCATTTCGATCATCTCCTCCTGCCAGGGGATCGGGATGTTGCCCGAGGAGAATTCGTCGAAAAAGCTCCGGTCCGGGTCCTCTAGCGTGATGCCCTTGACCGAGGAGAAGGCGCCCACGTCGTCCAGACTTTTGGCGTACACCACCCTGGGGTCCGGAATGAACGGCGGGGGCACGATGCCTTTGGAAGGGATTTGATTGATTTCATTTTGTTCCTAGTTAGTTATTCATTCATGCTCAACGATGATGCGAAGGTTGAGCAATTGAGGAAACTCTGATTTTTGGACCATTGAAGTGTCATGTTAATTGACTGATTTTCATTCTGATCTAGAACGTATACATATTGACAGCAAATTCTAAATACAAAAAGACATTGCTAATTACAATGAAGTGACTGTTCAATCAAAAACCTTGATTTGTGAATCATAAATATTTCATGTAATTTTTATAATTATAGCTGAGTGCAATGTTTCTGCCATTGAAATTTCAATAGATGACTTGACACTCCAAAGATTATTATTGTGACTACGTCCATCACATCACGTACTTTCAATTTTAATCATTTCAAATGCAAAAAAATGTGTCTACACTAATAATGATCACATTATTTTAAGAATGTAATAAATGATAAAATATAAATAAATGAACAGTACTGCATTAAAGTATTTTGAAATATGTAGATATATAAACTTGAATAGGAATACCATTCATCAATTAATACAAAGGTAAGAATAGAATTAAAATTCCATTTTTATACGCAAATGTGTCTATTTTTGAATGATGACACACTACTTCTGTCACAAATTATTAAATATCAATATTCTAAATATTATAAAACTGTTGTGATCTGCCCAGTGTGTACCATACTTCTTCCCCACGTTTAAACATATTATTGTGGTTAGTCTGGATTAAACTGAGCAGTTATAATACTCCCCACCTCTTTTGTAGTTAAAGTAACTAAGATATTAGATCTGACTTTCGTGATGTGAGTGTACACACTAAGTGGGAATCAAATATTGAACGTGATTATGTACCTGCATTCAGCTTCCTCCAGTTGATGTCACGAAAAAAAGGGTGCGCTCGAATCTCGTCGCAGCAGCCGTTTTTCAAACCCATTCTCTTGTCGACTTCTCTCGCCAGCAGCCCGTTACATAGCGACTTGGCATTCTCGCTGAACTTGTCCGTGTAGATCACCTCCCGGGTTAGCATTCGCTCTTTCATCTCCTCGCGCTCGAGCTGAACAAAAGTCAAAGCAGAGACGTCAACGCGAGGGTCATGCGCTTTGATGTCAAAACAGGGGCGAGCAACCTTCTCTCCTCTGTTCCTGAAGGGGTTCTTGGCGGCGAGGAACTCAAACAAGGTCACACCCAGAGTGAAATAATCGACAGAAGTGTCGTATTTTTCTCCTTTCAGCATCTCCGGCGCCATGTAACCTGCAAGAGACAAAGTGGAACGATGACCCAAAATAAATCGTCGCAGGGGGAGGTTATTGAGTCACCGGCAACGAGTAGTAGGCTTCTATTAGAGGGGAGGCGTCTAATCCCCGATTTCAATATGTTCAGCCACTTAAAAATAGAGTAATTGATTCTTTTTATACTCCACTGTCAGCAAAGACTGTGATTTTTTTCCCCCCTTGGGCAATTCTAACTGAGGTCTGGTGTTTATTTTACAAAACTGACCTATTTGCGCAACCTGATATTGCATGAGGCTTGCAGGGTTTTTTTCCCCCCTCAGGGGAAACTAGGAATCTTCTATTTGAGGGGCAGCATTTTTTTCCAATTGGTCACTCCACTCGGTTAATTGATGTACAGTGATCCCTCACTATATATCGCACTTTTTATCGTGGCTTCACAACGTTGCACTACATTGTTGGAAAAAAGCAGCACGTCAATACCGATGAATTGTCTTATCATAAACACATCAGCTGCTGCGGGCATAGCTAGCCAGGAGCTAGCTGGAGGCTAAAGGCGGCTACACCGTCTGTCAGAGTTTTTCTCGGACAAAGAAATGACTCGGCACACAGGGAAAATTGTCTTCAGGATCTCTGAGGGCGAACGACGGTTGTTGCCCCGGTAATCACGCTCAGAGTTCCCTGTCCGCCAGGTTGAACTTTTGTTTTGAATATGCAAAATACAAGAAACACACTGCCCCCGATATTTGCATACCACGCCCCCGGTCCAGCCCATCGGTAATGATTGGTTACCTTGGTTTAAGCCTTGAACCACGTGTACGTTGACACCTTTCTGTCTGGTCTACAATGAATCAAGTTGCAGATTTTGCAGATGACAAACGTCGCCTGGGTGCGATAGGCGTTCTCAAACTGTCTTTTGATGTTCAACAACGCTTTGTTCCCGAATTGTTTATTCCCACTTTGTGACAGAGTCTAGCCTTCTTCCCTCTGTTCGGCCCATTGCTTTGACGTGATAATTGTGGACTTCAAAAGCCCTCCGCCCAGACGGCCGACGCCTTTGCGCACAGGCATTTGGGGGCACTGGATACGCACCCAAACGTCTAGACGTGCCCAAATTAAATTTCTCTATTACCGTCAGAACGCAAAGTGAGAGTAACACAAGTCTCTTCTGTCTTTCTCACAAGGCAATGCTGATGAATGTTAATATCTGTATAAAGTTTTATAATTGAAGATTTAAATAAATATGTGTACAGCTGTAGACTTTGTAGATTCCGGGGGGTGGGGGGGGGGTCAATTCTGCTTGCCGATTTTCACTTATCAGGGTCACGGTCTCCATTAACCGCGATAAGTGAGGGAACACTGTACATTTATAAGAGTAAAGCGCTCTATTTGGGGAAAAATACGGAATTGTGATTCAAGATGGGATCCTCAAGAGTTACCTGGTGTTCCAGCATAGCCTTTCGTCATCGTTTTGCCTTCTTTCAATTCCACGGCGAGACCCAGGTCAGATATACGGACATTCCCTACCAACAGAGACATCGATCATTACAAACTTAAATGATAACGAGAGGTTATCATTTACTCTCACGTCGATTCTCAAGCGTTACCGTCATTATCGAGGAGCACATTCTCGGGTTTGAGATCTCTGTAGATGATTCTCTTCTGATGCAGATGCTCCATACCTTGAATGATTTGAGCTATATAAAAACAGGCTCTTGGCTCATCAAAGCCTGGATTGTTTTCATCCACCAGATAGATGTGGTACCTTCAAAGAAGAGAGGCAGCAGGCAACTTTTTCAGAGCCATATCCCAAAATGTGCTGTTTAGCGTAAATAGCCTGCAGTGGTTTTTCTGAGCGACGTTTTGCCTCTCATCCGAGTAGGCTTCATCAATTCATCACACAAGGCACAAGTTGATTTATACAGTAGATGGTCGAGTCAAACCGGGACAACTTTTATGCCGTTACCTGATAAAATGGATCATCTGTGACAATGCTTTTCTAGTTCATTTGGAGTCAGTCGTAAACAAGCTCATGATTTGATGGAATGGTGCAGGGAAAGCTGTCCGTTTTAATCACTTCAAGCATATATAGACCCGGATACGAGGACATACGGTTGAGCCTTAATTACTTTTCATTCGAGGCAGGAACGCTTCACATTTCCTTCCATTTTGTGATTTCATCACGTGAAACACAAGCTTAAATAAGTTTATCTTAAAAGCTGGGTGTGATGCGCTTATAGTCCAATTTCTTTTTTAAGCAGTGTAATTTGAGCCGCTGCCTTGCAACAGGTGAGGTATTAAAGAAAATGAATCAAGAGCACTTCTATACATCTAAACTGCATCTGCTTGACAGTTAAACTATCAGTACAACTTTCTAAGTTTTATTCCAAAAAAAGACGAAGACAATACTGTAGTTTTTCTGGTATGTAACCTACAATCACAGTCTCACTAGTACGGTATTGTCTTTGCAAAGGCTAGCTTCCTATTGGAACATATCTGCATGCCGATTTAACGTCTCATGATTTGAATGGACATTGTGAAACATATGACCAGGAAAAAGTGAAACAGTTGGCGAGCATACCAAAAAGAAAAGGCATTTACTCAAAGTTGATAGCGGTGCCCATGGCATCATTTGTGCATTTTGAGAAAATGAAATTACTTGAGATCCCCTCCATTCATGATGGTCATGACCAGACACAGCTCCTCCTTTGTCTGGAAGGCGTAAGCCAGTGACACAATGAAGCGACTGTGGACCTTCTCCAGAATCCTCTTCTCCACCATCGCCCCCTAGGGGAGGAGGAGGGAGAAGCTGGATGAAAAGTACAATTTGCCAATGTGGATTTGAAAGCACTTGGTCATCAATGGGCTATAGACAAGGGCAATACATAACTGCGCCAAGCAGTTCCATGCAGAAAAGCTTTTCGGTAAAGCCCAGACTAATCACTCTATCCTTGTCTTAGGGCTTAATACCGTAGCCGACTGTAATGTAGGGACAAAGATGAGTAGCAGTAGCAACAAAAGCCACTACATATTCATGCAGTGGAACATAAAGAAGTGTTATAATACCGTGGTTTGCATTGATTAGCCATGCACTGAAAAATTAAATGCCAAGATGTATGCCATCGGTAAAGAGCAATTCACCAAACAGTACAGCCACAGCGGTTTGCGGTGGTGTCAAGACGCACCGCAAACATCACCTATACAGATGTCACGTCTTTGCCTTTGTCCAGGTTATTCATTGAACAGCGTGGTTATTTGGGTTCGCGGCGGCGCAGACATGCACTGCAAACGTCAGCGTTACAGACGCTATACCTGCAGAGGTATTGACGGAAGAGCTTGCATTTTCCTGATTGAGAACGGGAGATATGGCATCTGTAAAGCTGACATTTCCAAAAACGTCATTAAAAAGAGGAGACTACATTTTTAAAACGGGTCTAGTCCAGGATGTCATCAGACAGTAGCGGCCGAAGACAGCAGCACAACTTACCTCATAGCCTTTCCGTTTCTTCAGCCTCTTTTTGTTCAGTTTCTTACAGGCGTAAAGTTTCCCCGTGGCTTTCATCTGACACGCCGACACCTCGCCGAAACCTCCTTTGCCGAGCACACGGAAGTCCAGGAACCAATCTGAGTCCATGGGCTGCATCTCTAGCCACTTCCACTGGAGGAACCTCTTCAAGTACATGCTCTCCAGGAAGAACACGTAGGGCGCCTCTCGTAAGTAGTCCAGAGTAGTAGCCAAAGCGGCTGCAAACAAGTCATCGCCGACAGCCTCCTGGCCCTCTTTCACCTTGGCTATGGTGTTCTCAGAGAGGAACGGGCAGAAATGTTTGGCTGAGGCGTCCATGTAGCGCTGGACAATCTTCGAGGCCTTCTTGGCACGATCCGAATCCTCCGCCAGGTCATAGTCCTCAATGTCCCGCCACAGGCGACAAGCACCGTGGTACTCTGGGTTGGTTTCCAGGAATTCCCTAAAGAGACGTTTGCCGATGGGCTGTTCCACGCAGACGCCATCAAACCCCAAATCAAGCGTGTCCTTCAGGCCTTCGCACACGGTGATGTGAGGCAGCTTGAGGCGGGAGTGGTATTTCTTGTCTCGAGCCGCCGCCGGGTTGGAGCCATCGATGCTGCCACGGGCATTGATGTAAGCAGAATTTGCCACCACGGTGGTCAGTCCCCCAATATCCATGCTGGATTTTTAGGCCACGCAAAGCGAGTGCATGGCAAGGCGCGTAGGTAGCAAAGGTAAGGAGACCAGGGAGAGAAATGGCGCCAGCATCTGAACCGGTGCTGTGGGCGAATGTGACAACTGTGCGCACATACACACACACCTGAGTCAACACCTTTCAGTAATCCCCTAACACCCCGATGCCCCAGACAATGAGTGCGAGCACATACTAGAACAGAACGACACGGGCTGCAGGGGACACTTTCACAACAAGATTTTAAATTGAGCGTGTCCTAATTGGGATCTGAGATAAGACCAATGAGGGCTCCTACAAAAGGTATTGGAAACCAATAGCTTAAATTTTTAAATGCAATATAAGATTGGGGGCGGCATTTGCTCTGCCTTTTAGCATGTGGCATCAGGACTGCAGGTTCTAAATTCTAAGATCCAAACCGTCAACTCGTGGTTTGTTGGCTGAATTGTGTGACAGCCATGTCAGATGCAGACCTAACATTGAACTCAAAGGTTGGTTCAGAGCATAAATAAAGTAAACGTTTGTGTGGTATCTTGGGCTTCAAGAATTTCAGATTTGCAAAGTGAAAAATAAAATTTTAAAAAATACAGAAAACGTGTTTTTTTTTAGCTGCATTTTGCATCACCACCATGACAGGTGCAGAAATACGGTCAAAATATATTATTGCCGACTTGATTGAATCATAAAGTGCCAGATTATGAATACTTGGTGTACAATAACATAGCATTAAGTTCACTTCGAATTTCAAATGTTTTAACCTAATCCTCCCATCTTCAATTGTGACTCGTAAATAAGCTTCTCCAAGTAAGAGTGACGTGAAGAGACTACAGACTTCTCAAAGAAAGTTCTGAACTTCATGGCACGATGTTTTGCGTGCAGATCAGAAAGCAGCCTGTCTCTGCCGTATCAAGCCACGACGTGGATAACGGTAAATTCCACACAACTGATGCACAAGACAATTCTTTAAAATGAATCAATCAGAACAGCCGTCCCCAACTGAAACCAGTTTTGTAATTGCATGTTACTCAAGACCATTTACAGAAACGTTTAAAACAATCTATATTTAATTTGAAAACTTATATTAGAATACAGAAAAGGGGTATTTGGAAGAAGTCAGTACATGTGTTGCTCAGTTTTGAAAAGGAGATCTTTGATGGGAGCATACAAAGACCTGTACAACCACACATTAATTACATGGATACCGTCTGATGGTCTAGTATCGATATCACTGGCCTCTAAGGGATACTATGAGCTACAATCAACGGGGTTCATACATGTCATTAACAAAGCTTATTTACCTATCAGGAACCTGGGTTAGGAAAACATTACCTTGCTGGTGCCATTATTTTGTAAACACGACCAAGGTGTTACACAGGCCGCTCATGAGAATTCCTTAACTGCGGAATGCAAAACAATTAAAAAAAAAAAAAATAAAAAATCAAACTAGCAAATAAGGTAATGCAAGCAGCTGCCTACAAAACAGAAGGAAGCCACCTCAATTGAGTGAGAAACGGAAGAACCATTTGAACCTCTGCACCAGACCAAAATAAAAACAAAAACAACACGCATGATGGAGCCCCATCACAGGATGCCAATTTTATCTGGCCATTGTGAATTCATGGCGGCCTCTTTGAACAAATACTTTGACCATCGGTGAACATTAAAGATCGTGCTGCCATAGAGAACAGTGGCGTAGCGACACAAACATTTTTTTTTTTTTGTCGTTCTCCAAAAGCAGTCTGTTTTTGTTTCTCATGGGATGGCTTAGAGAACAATGAGCTAAATACGCAAAGACTTCAGCTTTTAGGTTAGGTCGCACGCTACAGTTCCCGCGACAAAACCCTGCCCGAGAACTGCGGTGCATGTACGAACGATTCAAGAGGCAAAAGGGGGCACCTCACGCACGTCTCCCCTCATTCTTTCAATACTCATGTAGAGCCCTGAGAAAGCCAAACAGAAAAACAGGCGTGGGAGAGAAAGGGGGAAGAGCAAAGACAAGTGGAGGGTGCATGACATGTGTTTGTGTGTAAGTGGGGGAAAGGGGGGGTGGGGGCGCGACGGCAGTTCTACGTTCCCATGTTGGCGCTTTTGAGACACTGTGCTTATTGGAGTGGCAAGGTGTACACAGGTTAGTCTTCGTCATCATTCTCGTCGTACTCATCCTCGTCGTCGTCGTCGCCCATGTAAGACACCGGCGTCTCCACGCGAGAGCCGCTGTAGTGAGAGTCGTTCGAGCTGGATGCCATGGTGCCATCGGGGCAGCCGTCGCTAGATAAAGGAGGAAAAAGTGGTTCGGGTTTAGACAATGGTTAAAAATAAACGCAAGGGACGGACGGATCTCACGTTTATAGTTGCAAGCCAATGACAAGAAAAAAAAAACTGACTAAATTTGTGCGTTTTTGGATTTCTTTTTAAATGTTCTTTTTCTGTCTAGTGCATGTTAGATATGTGCTTAACAGGACTTTTTATTATCATCGTCCCAAAGACATGCTTTTTAGGTGAAACTGAAGATTACAATTTGTTATAGGTATGAATGTTCCTCTATATGTATGCTGTGATGTAACGTGCGGAAGGCATCGGCTGGTATGAGATTGTGATGGTATGAGGAGATGAATCACCGTACTGCAATCACAGCTCCAAGATGCACCATTTTGAAATTTGGAGGGTAGATCATTTTTGTTCCATTGAACCAAGTGTTCTTTGTTTTTGGCATATTAGTAAAAGTGAAGGGAAAAAAACAACAACTGAATTTTCACAAGTAAAATCAAAAGTACAACAGTTAAAGTACGGCACTTATTGCTTGTGAAATGAGTATCGACTCCCCTGCTTTTCTTGATATAGTAACTTTAAAGTGAAAAAGAGCTGGCGTTAGCCGTGCTATTTTAGCCATGTTATCCAGTAAGTCAACAAGTTGAGCAAGTCAACACTGAGAAGGCGGGGGGAAAAAAAGCGAGCTGACTCCCACCTGGCTGTGTAACGGGCTCCATTAGCCGAGGACCCTCCAGTGATGTAAACGCTACTGATGGGGCCCTTTGCCATCTCTGGAGAAGGAGAGCCATCATCATTTAAATTAAAACCGTGAACCTCGATGTGAAGTAGGAGCAAACGTGTGTGACTGACCGATCACGTAGGGCTCCAAAGCTTTGGGCACCAGGCTGCGTGCGACTTTCAAATCCTCCGGAGAACACTTGCCCACCTCCAAACCACAAGCCATGCCCATACGCTTCAGCACCTCAATGTCATCGTGGATCTCAAACATGCTGTCGAAGTTGAACAAGTACTCAAACCTGCCAATCAAGAACAGAAAATCTCTTCAGCAAGCGTTGAACGGGAAACATGCGCCGCCAATGTGTGTGTGGTCACGACGTGGCCTACTTGTCATTGGAGATGCTGCAGTCAATGACTGTTTTCTTGCTGGTGTTGACGATGATGAAGGGAAGGTGTATGATGGAGTTGGGCGGCGGAGGTCTGTTTGCCTGCTGCTCACTCTGCCTGTTTCTCTGAACCAGGTTCTTGAAGGCTATTTGCTGCGACCACAACAACAACTTGCCTTGAACAAGTGAACATGGATCACTGTAGGTATAACCGTGCAACGACAAGCAAATGCACGGTTCATTATTCGATTGCTTTCAACACATTACATTTCTTATGAACCCTAAAACCTCTACTGTTGATCCCCAGGTTTAACCCTTGCAGTGAGGCCAATGAGGCAGGCAGCCCGCCCCCCTCATTTTTGCCACGCGAGCGAGCGAGCAGTAGCTCGTTGGCAGCTTCAACGGCCTGGATGCTGATTTTTTTTTTTTTGGCTCGTTTGTTATTAAACACCTGCAATAATAAATGTCACGGGCATAACGAGTCGGTGTTCAGTGATTTCCATCACAAAATACGGATGATCCGTAACATTTGTCAACTCTGGTACAGCTTGGTGGAAACATGGCTCTCAGTCACTCCTACCTGTAGTATGAGCTCCTGAAGCTGCGACTGTTTCTGTTTGATCCTTTCCAGCCGCCTCTGTCGCTCCACCTGCCATCGGCAAAAATAATACTTGCATACAAAGGAGGCAACAGAAGTGACATGCGGTGAGACTTGGAAGGATTGCGCATAGGTACCTCGAGGTTTTGGCACTCTTGCGCTGAGTTGGTGGGCAGGCCGATCCACTTGATCTCTTTCTTCTCTTTGGAGATGATGTTCATGGCCATGAGGACGTTCAGGGCGTCGTACACACGCCGCCGGATGTTCTTCTGGTCATATACATGCTAAAAGAAAAACACATCAGCACGATAAAGAGAACCTTGTAGTTTCCACCTGTTTGTGTGGTGCGTGGGTGTGCATCATTTTTGCAGCAGCAACTCTCACCGAGTCGTTGGGTGACATGAGGTTGTCACCCGAGCTGAATTCTGCCACCAGCTCATCTGCCACCTCGTTGTAGGTGGTGACTCCCTTCTTCTGCACCTTCTCGCACACTTTCATGGAGAAATGCCTCAAGCCCTTCCCATTCTTCTCACCTTTCTTACCACGCTTCCTGCAAATAACAGTGAGCTCACCGGACCATGCTGTGATTTGCCAAAAGAAAAAAAAAAACGAACTCCTCAACGTGCTTTTGAGGACTTACCCTGATGACCAAGGAGAGGCATCAGAAGGTTGAGTCTGAGTCAGGAACTGGGAATTGGGCGTGTGTGGACTGTTTACCAGTATAGTGTTGGATACCGTTGGCCTCTGGGGTGTTCCAATTACCTGGAAAAGAAAAAGGGGCAATAATATCCTTCTCAATCATATTTCTTCAAATCGTGGCCAGGTGTGTTTAGTCACTCCGCGGCAGAGTAGCAGGTGTTTATATTAAGTGGATGACAAACTTGTGGCAAGGATTTTAATACGTTGAGCAATATCTTCAAGTTAACAATTTCTACAAACCGCAATTCCAATCAATTTGGGCCGCTGTGTAAAACGCAAACAAACAGAAATATACTGATTTGCAAATCCTATTCAACCAATACTTAAATACACTACAAAGAGAAGTTGTTTCATGTTCATGCTGATTAATGTTACTGTTTTTTTTAATGCAGACTGGGACGAGTGAGGAATCCTTAAAAAACAGTTTGGGATTTCTTCATCTCCCATCCATATTATCATCAAGAGACTCAGGAAATCTGGACAAATATCTCCAAGTAAGCGGCAGGGCTGAAAATCACCACTAAATGTCCGTAACATTCGATCCCTTAGGTGGCATACATTAAAAACCATTTGTGGACTTGCATGACAATTAACACAACAATCCTGAACAGTATTTTGAAGGTTGCTGTATTGTCTTACTGAAGTACTTGTAACAACGTTGACGACATCACTAGTGCTAGAACTCAGGCACTGTGAAGGTAGGCACTCGATTCCTTTTCCAAGGTGATAACTAAGCTGATTGTCACGATGTATAGATTCCATGTATGTAATGGGATGATGGATGCAATCCTGCTGACTGTAGCGCTTGATAAGCTTAGGATCAACGCCCAGCTATTTCTCCCGCCAGGTCACCTCGCAATGATAATGGAGGGGGCTTACACAACAGCGAGACGTGGCAAAGAGGGCCGGCAAGCAGAAAATAATATCATGTGTGATGTACCATATTTTCCACACTAAAAGGCGCACCGGATTATGAGGCGCACCTTCAATGAATGGCCTATTTTGTAATTTTTTTTTCATACGTTGGGCGCATCGCATTATAAGACGCAATCTACAATGCATCCGCTAGATGGAGCTACGCTCAAGGAAACATCAACAGAACGATCAGATGTCAGTAAAACATATTTAATAACGCAGTGACACAGTTCACTTAACCAACAGCAAGTTATAACATTGACTCGTTAACGTTGAACTGTCTTGCCGCTGCTCTATTTCCGTGTTCAACTGCGTAACCGATCGCCTTAAGTTTGAACTCTGTGTTGTCAGCATGTCTCGAGCAAGGAGCCATTTTGGGGTTGAAATATTACCGTAATGACCATATACAAGGCGCATCGGACTTTAAGGCGCGCTGTGCGCTTTTAAGAAAATGGAGGCTTTTAGGTGCGCCTTTTAGTGCGGAAAATACGGTACATGTGTCTGTTTTATTGATGGTGAAGCAGGTCTGGGAAAATTCATGACAGGACTTTGTACCAATGAGGACTTACCATGTGTGGCAAATGTTGCATGTGTGCAGCAATATTCACATTGGACGGCCCAAGCGTTTTGGGCAGAAGCTGTTTGGCCACAGGGGCGGTGGCGGGTTGGACAGCAACCAAAGACAGGACACCTAACAAGACACGTGAGAGAGTGAGCAATGAGTGTTGAATGAATGACTGTTGTTCCAGCTCTGACAGAAGAGACAAATAGAGTGGAGCCTAAATGATGCAACAAGCCGATAAATTTGATTACAGGGGGAAACACCCCCCGCCCCCAATGTTTTAGCAAATTCAAGTACAAAACAAGGATAATTGATACAGCCGTTCATTTTACATTTCTTTTTCTAGTGTTATTGGCGACTGAAGGCGCTTGCGCAATTGGGTCTCATCTCGAAGCCTCGTAATAGCAACATTCCTGGCTCCACAAAATATCAAAAGGCCATCTGTCGGTGTGTTATTACATTCTGCTTTTATTAATTATGTGCAGCGTCAGAGGAGCCCAGTTCTTGCATGACAGAATGCATGACAGCGGCTGGAACGCTTCACTCCAAAGTGCTGGGTATCAAAAGTAAACAAATAACATGGCTGGCGAGGAGAATGTTTGGCTTTAGAGCAACATGAATAGTGATATATTTATAGGGCTTCAGACCAGTTGTCAAGTAGAAAAAGTTGTTAGAAAGCCAGATACTGAGTATAATCACGAAATACAAGTCATATATTTTAGTGTGTTTTACATTCACATTGCCACTATTGCGTTATGTCACAGTGAAGTCAAGGGACTACCCAGAGTGTGCAATCCAGAACTTTGAGCAACCATTTTCCAAGTTAAAAGTCAGTAATTCCAACTTCCCAGCTAGGTTTTTGCACAACTTTTGATAAGTATTTTCCCTCCTGAAAAGTTTCATTGAACTCTTAGTTGTAATACTTCAACTTCAAAGGTTCCAGTGTATGTGTTTTTCTTTTTAAAGTATAATTTAAAGTGTGATGTACAAACTCTGTTCAAAAACAGCTTCTACCTTTGCTGGGGCTCAGATTCTGATCAATGAAAACCTTCAACTCTCCATTTGTTTCCATTAGACCAGCCTGCGAAGGACAGAAATGTTAAATAATATCCCCTCATAATCCAATCAGACAAAGTAGGTCATGTCTTAATGTCATGACATGAGCATGTAGTCACTTACATCTTTAGCCATGATCCCAAAGGACCGGGGAAGTTGAGCTTCAGTTGGAAAGGGATTTCTTCTTCTGTTTCACTATTAAGACCCTTAAGAAAGAGAGAGAGACAGACAGACAGACAGACCAACTTTAATGTTCCACAAAAAAAAATAAATAGTTGAACATTTGCATAGACACAGAGCCCGTTAAATTGCGGCATTAACCCGCTTTTGCGTTTTTGACAGAACTCAGCCAATGGCACCAATATACAATTTCGTAACATCTGAGGAAATAGAGGCACGACATAGGAACACCACCGGTGTGTAGGGGAGTTCTGCAATGCCTGGACACGAAAGCGAAGCTCAACAGCAGCAGACGCTAAGTTATTGCACCCTGTTGTGTTGAAAGCAACGATCATTGTCTAACAAGTCTTTTCCCTGTCACACAAGACACGAGAATCATTTAAAGTAACACTGTATTCATTATAAACGAACGCAAGACATATAATTTGATACATTGCATAATGATGGTGTCACATATATGCAAACTTTCCAAATTGTAGATAACTGAAGTATGTATTACCATGAACCGGATGAAGGAGAATTTACATCTTCCAAAGCTAGTTCACTTCAATTAGCAAAGTGGTTTGTCCCAAGAAACCAAACTTATTAAAATACATATATGGCACATATACCTATTAAAATTACTGCCACGACAGAAATGTTTGAGTTATTTGTAACCAAAAAAGTATGTGCCTGATGGAGGCTATTTCACCTCCTTATATCTAGGCACAATACAAATTGATCCTAAACCCTTTTTGGATCGGAGTACATATTTGGGTCCCCGCTGATAAGAATGAACCTAGTGTAGCAGCATAGAATAGGAAGTTAAGAACTTTTGAGTGGTTATAAGCGCACAGGGCCTACTTCAGGTGGAGGAGAGGTGGCGAACTTCTGCTACAGGTCTTTGCAAAACATATCAACTTCACGTGCAACAACAAATATGGACAAAAAAGTAATATCACGACGTGTATAGAAGGAGTAACGGCACGCTAGGCCCGTATCCCCCCCATCGAAGCACTCTTTTGTTGAGGTGCGGCTAGCTAACTGATACCGCTAAGCCACCATGGCTGGATAGAGCCCTGCTGCTAGCTAGCGAGCTAATGCACGCTTTGAAAGAGATTCTGGGCGAGATAGGTCCCGTTTTTCGCCCCTCGACGTTTCAGTGGAGAAGTCCGTGATCCGTTTGGGCTAGCGTTCGGATGAAAAGGGGAGTCAAGCGGGCGGGGATTGTGTGCACTTACGAGTGTACTAGGGCTGCTTCTTCGACGGCTGCCGTTGTTGTTGGCATTTGAGAGCGGAGGAAGAGGAGGTCTAAATCCTTAGCAAACAGGAAACATTGCGAGCAAAGTCAAACTATACTTTGGGGAGCATTGTATTTTTGCGAATAATTTCAAGTTCACTTGATTTTTTTATTCGCGAGTACGACAGAAAGACAAAAAAACACTGCGTGTGACATGAGATTGGTCAAGACTTAAATCGGTCGATGCGGCGTTGATATTAATCGTTATATGCACACCTGTCAACGGAAAAATAGTGGCCAATTCGGTGACCGCTACACTATCATCATCATGTATTTGCAGCAGTCTTACGCGTTCTAAATGCACAGAACTTCCTGACTAATTGATCATTCCGTTTTGCTTAACCGAATTCTACACTGTCTGCTTTGTTTTCGAAGACTTTCAAGCAGCTACTGTTGTCTTGCAATCCTTGCCGATAAAGAGGCACGCATTCGAAACTCTAAAGTTCACAACGAGGACACTTTTTAAGTGTGAGATGCTTGTAGAAACTAGTCTGAAGTACACAGTGACAACTGCCAACATTGGTGGCTTGGCAATTACTGTGTTTGTTAGCAAGTTGCTAACTCGCGGTCACCAATGAAAAGCCACCGGCGCTTTGTTAGCCGACCGCTAGCAGCTAGCGGCCGAGCTAAGCACAGCTGTCATCGACAAGACCACCGGAGTTAGCTTTTAAAACTCAGTTGGCGGTCTCACGCCGAGTTGTTTTAGAACGTCCACACAGCCTCCGAGCCGTGTCACAAATAAATATGTCGGAGGCGAGGCCAGAGACGCGTTAAAACACGTGCTTACCGGTGCACTCCACAAGTTAGCAAGCGTCGTGAGCTTCTTCTATCACTCTCGGCTAGCCTTGCTACGGCAGCGCGACTCACAATCTGATCTTGGCGGTGTCTGGCTTCAGTTGTCTCTGATTGGTCGCCTTCCGCAAGACGAAAGCAGAGCAGTCAAAGTAGCCCCCGCCCACTATCTAAAACGACGTTCCGATTGGACGATGCACAGGTTTGATATTGAGGACACTGCCACCTGTTGCAAAGGAGGTGATAAAGCAGTATGGTAGTTTCCATTGAAGGCTTTCCTTTGACAAGGCTAAAGGAGATAATTTGGGGTATGCGTATGTCAGATGTCATTTGATTATACTTTTTATTCTGAAACCGTTACTGTACACGGTAAACCTACATAATTTTCCCCTATATCATTTCTCTCTCTCTCTCTCTCTCTCTCTCTCTCTCTCTCTCTCTCTCTCTCAACCTCTTGAGAGAAATAAAAAGGACGTACGTATCCTGTACATAAATATTATATTGGGAAATTGTGTAGAAAAAAAGCAATGTACATTTACCGTGAATAATGGGAAGTCGTTTGCATCAAGAAAAAAAGAGTGGAAGCACAGGAAGCAAAAAATGAGAAAATTAGTTTTAAGCAAAGGAAAGCAAAGGAAGGGTGGAAGGAAGGGAACTAAACTGAAAAGCGGGCCAAGGTAAGGGGGATAAAGGAAGGAAAAAAAGAAGGAAGGAGTGACAGCAGGTCAGGAAGGAAGAAAAAGGCAAATATCATCAAGTGGAAGAAGCTAAGGAAGGAAAGAAGGCAGAAAAGAAAGTTTAAGTGATGGAAGAATAGCTGCATGAATAAAAACAGGTGGAATAAATAAACTGAACTAAAAGCATAGTGAATAAAAACGTGTGAAGGCAGGAAGGAGGGAAAATAGCAACAAATGAAAGTCGAATACTGTAGTTTCAGCAAAGGAAGACTTTTACACAGTACTTTATATATTATTTGTGTTATGACCCTAAGTAGGTGGTAAACTGGTTAGCATGCCGGCCTCACAATGGAGAGGTGTATGATTCGATTCCAGCTCCAGCCTTGTGTGAAGTTTGCATGTTCTCCCTGTGCCTGCATGGGTTTTCTGGTTACTTGTTATTCAACAGTATTTGAGCCGCATAAGTTCTGCTGTTGTCATCATGTAATGATACTTTTTGAGTCCCTTCATTAAAAAAAATAAAAATAAAAAAAAGATGAAGTAAGTCTGACAGTGACAGATATAGTCTATCAGCAATATTTTTGTGTGCAGGCGTCCACACTTGTTGCGGAGTGCATTCTTGCAGATAAAACTAATCTGAACCAGCGAGCAACAAAACTTGCTGAGCAGGGATGCAGCGCTGCAGGTATCATATTTGACTATTAATTGCAGGACGATATTAAGTATTAAGACCCTTTAAATGTGTCAAGCATCTACGTTCTTATTTGTATGGGAGACACTGTACTTTTTATTTCCTAATTTAAAGCATACATATTACTTCTTAATATTTATTCATTTGTTGTAAGTTATTCTTTGTTGTAAGTTAATATACGGTATATTTCATTTCTAATGTTATTAGAGATACTATGTTATGCAGAAGTGTACTTAAAACAATTGTATAGACAAATGATACAATTTTTAGCCCCGCTGGCTAGCTGGTTGGGGGAAAAAGGTTTGTTTCTTAACGTGTCACGCTGAAATTTAAATGTGTTTACTAAAATACAATAAAACACTGTCAACCACATGAGAATTCATAAAGTTGCGCCTTCCGCAGGTCGCTTCCACGCATGCGCACAACGAGCGGCTCCCAAACTGGTGAACTAGCGGGTGTGAAAATGGTAGGTAACCAAAATAAACACATTCCCCCTCTCGTCTCGTTAACCGCCGCGATGTCTTTTAATACGCGTGGCGCCGTGTCGCTTTACTATTAACGGTCGCGTCGCGCCCAATCTCCACGTTGATCAACGAGTGTCGTTCGGCTTGCTGTTTCTCAACGGAAGGTCAGTTGATATTTTTGGGGGCAGCAACAGCAGCTAGCTAGCAACACAGCTAGCCGCAACGTCCCCGTGTTTGTCTGTCAAGCATGCTAACATAGCACAGGCTCGGCCACCGTAGTTATGAACCTGCAACTACGACACGCATGCACGCGCAAGCTCACTGACACCATTGCACGCATGTTATTAACGTTAACAACAGACCGAAGCTAAAATATTGGCGTCTAGCCAGTAGCTCGGCCATGCTAACCCGGCGATTCCCATTCCTACCACCGCTATTCTTTTGCCTTTGTTATCCCCCGTATACAGAGCTCGCCATTACGTAATAATGCTTATGACGGTCCACTGTCACCTTACCATAAACATGATGAGCGGCCTGTTATAAGCGTATAATAGAGGTGGACAACCTGCGGGTCGTGGGCCTCAGAGCAGAGCTAAAAACAAATACCACTTCTTGGGAGCTGTTATTAAAACCTCTACAAATAGTCAGAGTGGCTCCTATTACATCAGTCATGTGAGGGCCTGCACTTGGGATCATCCTAAATGTTGCCGAGAACTAGGTCTCACTCCCCCCATGTGCCCTGAATGCCTGTGGACGCAGTCCTGTGCGCGCTGGTGTGTCTATGCGCGCTGCTCTGTCTTTACCTGGTGTGGGCGCTGTGGGGTCTGCTCGCCACTGACCGCCCGTTTGCCCTGTTGCCCACGCAGCACAAGTTGAAGTCGTCGCAGAGGGACAAGGTGCGGCAATTTATGTCCTTCACGCAGGCGGGCGAGAAGACGGCCGTTTACTGTCTCACACAGAATGACTGGAAGCTGGAGGTGGCCACCGACAACTACTTCCAGAATCCGGACCTCTACTGCAAGGAGTCCATGAAGACGTCCGTTGACCGCAAGAAGCTGGAGCAACTTTTCAACCGGTACAAAGGTAGGGATGTTTCAGTAACACTTGTTTGACACCTGAGGCCAAGTCTAAATCTTTGGTTTTCTAGTTTCTGGATAACAAGTCCTGATCCGATACCTTAGTGATACAGGCAAAGAGTGCACATCCAACTGAGTGATTTCACGTTGTTTTCTTGCCTCCTTGTTGCTCCAAATAGAATCAAAGTCACACTGATCTCTAACCTTTACCAATACATAAATGCTCAAAAATTAAATAAAATTCAAAATCAGTGATCAATAGCACATTTCACACACAACGTAATTGAATCTATTCCACATTCCCATACAGATCCCCAGGATGAGAACAAGATCGGCATCGAGGGCATCCAGCAATTTTGCGACGACTTGATGCTGGATCCGGCCAGCATCAGCGTTCTGGTGGTGGCATGGAAATTTCGCGCCGCCACCCAGTGCGAGTTCTCCAAGAAGGAGTTCCTGGACGGCATGACGGAGCTGGGGTAAGCCGCTCTGTAGGAAAGAAGGCTCCCTGTCTATATATACATAAAAATTAAGCAACAGCAAGTGGCTCATGTATCGCCGTTACATTTGTATAGCAGCAAGGCTGCCATGTTGTTATTGAACCAGGAGGTTTAATGTTGGGTGCCTCTACCGCCTTGTAGGTGCGACAGCCCCGACAAGCTCAAAGCCCTTTTGCCAAGACTGGAGCAGGAGCTGAAAGACGGCAGCAAATTCAAGGACTTCTACCAGTTCACCTTTAACTTTGCCAAAAATCCCGGCCAGAAGGGTTTAGGTAAGGAGAATCACTCATGCAGGTGGGTGGATTTAGGGCCACGGTGGGGTGGGGATGAAAAAAGTCCTACTCATAAGAAAATAAGTGAAAAAGGTATGTTACAAGAATAAAGTCAGTTTGAAGAAGTTTTTAAATTATGGGAACATTTTTTGGGGGAAGGGATGTATTACAAGGGAAAGTACAATGTGTGATCAAAAACGCCTGTAATTTGGAGTAAATTCTAAATCATGAGGAAAAATGTCAACGTTGCCAAAATTTGACCAGATTGTCATGATTTTTATTACCATTTTATGGGAGGAGACTTAATTTTGCTAGAAAAAAAAGTAACATTTAATTAAAATAAAAAATGAAAATAAATGTAACATTTTGAAATTGTACATGATGAAAGTCCAACTGTATTATGTCGTCTTATGGCATCAGTTTGAAACACAGACAAACTTAAGATGACTTCTTTGAGTTTTCTTTTTTTTTTTTCTTTCCTGCAGACTTGGAGATGGCTGTAGCTTACTGGAATCTGGTTCTTTTAGGAAGATTTAAGTTCCTCGACCTTTGGAATAGATTTCTTTTGGTGAGTCGAAAATCTATGGAGGCAGCGCTGTTGAAGCACAAATAATATTAAGCATATCTTGATGACGGGTTGTTTCAGGAGCACCATAAACGCTCCATCCCAAAAGACACTTGGAACCTACTGTTGGACTTTGGAAACATGATCGCGGACGACTTGTCCAACTATGACGAGGAGGGTAAGAGTTGAAACTTCAATGTTGACAATGGGCAAATAAATAAATAAATAAAAATTTATGAGGGGTTGCTTAACGAAAACTTATTTATTCTATGTACATTATTTTGTGATTTTTACGTGTATGCGGGTGTCCAATGTAACATCTTTAGGCTCACGTGGTGAATTTTAATTTTCTGATCCATGTTTTCTTTTTCCTTTTAGGGGCGTGGCCAGTGCTTATAGACGACTTTGTGGAATTTGCTCGACCGATCATAACTGGAACAAAACGTAAAACTCTCTAAAAAAAAAAAAAAAACAAAGAACTGGGAAGGAGAGTATTTCTTTTACAGAGACTTCATCTGGATTTTTTTGAAGGTGGATTATTATTGTTATTTTTTATTTAAACAATGGTGGCCAACAGCAGCACTTAGAGGAGAGTGCAGAGGAGGGACATTTCCGGATTCATCTGGGCTCCTCCTGCCGGACCCTCGGAATCCTGTGAGCGCACTCCGCTCCGGGATGAACACTGATGCCGCGCCAAGACGAGCGTAAATGGACTGGAAAAGAAAGGACAAAGGAGTGCTCACAACACCAGCACCACAACTTGACCGTACATACTGTATCTATTTACAAAAGAGAATTATATGAAGCCTAATATAAATATGATCCTGTTTATAAAGCATCCTTTTATGTACTCTTGAAGATGTCTCACGGGTTTGATGTCAGTGTCGTGCATCACCTTGAGGCTGTGATTGCATCTTCGATTTTGGTACTTGCTGTGAAATGTCCCCCCCACCCCAAAAAAAAAAACCATCACAGCTCTATGTTCTGATTTCCTCTGCCCAAGGAACATTTTGTCTAAACTGCTTTGAGTGGGAATGGTCTTTCGGAAGTGTTTAATCATGTCTTCAATGGATGAAGGCAAAATGGAGCACCTCTTGGCTGGGAACAATCGATTAACTCTCAAGTCTGCTGTTCAGAACATTTAAGACCAATCAAATAATTGAACCTGAGCAGCGTTCTTGATACTTTTTAGACCGTCCTGCAGCAGTTAGGAGCTATTCTGAAGCTGCATTGCAAAATGAATGATAAACAAGCCTTACTAATTATACAAATGTTATGTTTCTGTTCACCATTATTTACAGGTAGAGACAAATGAACATTCATGTAAGTACAGTATATTGTTACATTTAAAGATCAATAAAAGCATGAGTTTTTCCATAATATGGATTTAACTCCTCTGTCAGTGGTCCTCAGACTTAACACCAAAGTACCGCGTTAAAAAAATACTGAGCTCTCCAAGTTCCACTCGAATGACCTACATGAAAAAAAACTGGGTAACTTGCATTTTGAACATTTATAAAACTTCATCAGCTACGCTCCGTAATATCAAAAAGTTCAGAAATCTGGGGAGATCACTGCATGTAAGCGGCAAGGCTAAAAACAAACGGGGCAAACTAAGAACAACTTTCAAATCACTTTTATTGACCATCGTTTAGAAAACATCTCAAACAATTAAAACCAACGCACACAAAACAAATAAACGGGTATTCAGATGAGGAACAGTAAACAATACGGTAAACCAAAAATTATCAGTACTATTACATGATGATGCATGTTTACATACAGCCCTGTACAAGAAAATGTGAGAGAGAAAACAGCAGGTACCTCTGTATTAACATTGCATGACATGTTGCAGCAGGGAAGGCACTGACAAGGAAAACAGTGATGTAAGCATTTTGGCCACTGGAATTTTGTAAGGGAGTGTTGTAACAAAGTGGACAAGTGGTGTGTAACAGAAAACTACTCTTCATTAACAAGGTGAGGAAAGACAACGTGCAGATTTTCCAGGATTTGTGCTAAACGAGGCTAAGCATGTAGTCAAACATTTTGAAGATCTAAAATAAAGTTTATGAAGTTACCAAGTGGACTAAAAAGAGAGCCTTTAGGCACTCGCCACGAAAAAAAAATTGGGGCGGGGCTCGCATTTGACAAAATTTCATTTTTGATTGAAGAAAATAAACACTCAAATTAATCTAACATGATTTAATGCAAAACAATGTGGTTGTCAAATAATTGTTGGAGGTTAAAAAGCCAACCAAAAATCTAATTGGACCCAGATGGGAGACTTGTGGCACTCAACTAAAAAAATTAAAGGATTGACAAATTTGCTAATAGGGGAAATTAGTACTCAGTTAATTGAGCCCGAACCCAACATTTATGCTAATCTTGGTTTGTGATTAAAAACATTTTTTTTTTGTCAAGGTAACCGCTAAAACAAGTAGATAGAGGGGAGGGAACCTTGAGGCAAGCTGCACAAAGTCTGATTTAGGGATTGGCATTTGGGTTCTTTTTTTGGGATGATTGTGGGAGCTGACAGACCTTAACTCCAGATAGATGACCACAGTAAGGTTAGGTTGTTTTAGCATAAATCCTGAGTCACATTTGGTTTATTGACCATTCATTTTCCCCATTATTTTGTCAAATGGCCACCACCTACAGTATTTGCCTTGCAGAGTGCCTCAGGGTTGCCAGGTAGGTCCTCTTCATTTTTCGTTAAAGATCTTGACCTCCAACATGTGTTTGTTTGATCACCACTAAGGTCAACAAAATGTAAGGTTAAAAATTAAACAAAACAAAAAACCTCAGGGGGCTTAGACAAAAATGTGCTTAGTCTGGGTGGGTATTTAATAAAATGTGCTTAATCTATAATAGGGAATACCAACACTCAAGATATGTAGTGTAATCCAGGATTTTTCCTGAAGTAGTCTAACCTTAGTGTGGTAGTCATGCCAGAAGGCTGTCGCATGTTTTAGCTGCTGAGCTGAATTTTGCCAATCATTTTATTTTCAGACCAGTCAAGCATTTTAGCACCCAAAATCCAGTTTTCTCAAACAAATCCCCCATGCCCCCTCCAAATGAATCCATGTCTGCAATAGATGCAAGAACATTGCCACCAGCCATTCCTGAGACTTCACAATCATGACTAAACAAGCAGCAGACACTGAGGTACCTAGCGAGAGATATTGTGAATACTAGTAACTGAATGTTAAACTCCAAACTGAGACGTAGTGTCTTCACCACAAGAAACACCAGTTATTGTGCTATAAATAAACAAAACCACTACAGGTTATCACCCAAAAGAAGCAAGAAGTGGCCTGAAATCCAATAATTCCCTTTACAAAATGTATAAATACAACACAATAATGAATCCTTTGCTTTCCAGATATTTCCTCACAAATCTCACAACATCCCTTTTATTATTATAATTTAGCTTATGCATCCCCCACGGTTAAGGATACGGGAGTTTGTGGCGTGTTAAATGTGAAAGTGGTTAATCACGGAGAGGGAAGGAAGGCTCGGGTTACATGCGAGCGGATGCCACCTCAGATGGTCTGGTAGCCGGCATGGCTCCTCCTCCTGCCAATGAGGTAGGCAACGAGCACGATGAGGACTAGGCCGGCCAGGGCCGCCCCGACCACGATTGCGATCAGCATGTCGTCTTCATCCATCTGGCACTGCTCGGCTAAGAGAGAGAAAGAGAGAGCGAGAGAGAGAGAGGTTAAGCGTTTTGTGTGTGTGTGTGTGTGTGTGTGTGTGTGTGTGGGGTGGGGGTGAAAATGAAAAATGGAGGACCGGCAAAATGATTGTGGGGAAAATTGACACTTGCTCGAGATGGTTTACCTGTGCCAAACTTGTTCTGAGTGAGGCCAAAGGGCTGCACCTGCAACTGGAAGGTGTTGATGGACAAAGCCGGCACCACGTCAAGCGTCTGCTCCTCGCGGCACATGTATGAGAAGCCCAAGGTTCCCCGAAGGTAGTCCAGGCTGCTGTTACGTGCCAAAAAGGGCTCTGATACAGGACACAGGACGGTTTAATCACGACCACTAATTTGACAACAGAGTTAGCATAACAAAGATTAATTTCTGAAGAAAATTAGCACTGTACAAGCAACCAAAACACAAAGGGGGTGGGGGGGCAGTTATTTTTGTCTGTATTTGCATTTCTTTAGTTTACATGGGTGTACCTCATGTTGTGGCCAGGAGACTCACCTTTCATGTCCGGCCAGATTGCTGACATAGTAATTTCACTCACGTGGTACTTATTGGACGTAGTGTTCTGGAGGGAAAATAAGATGCAATTCAAGACGTTCACTTCTGTACTTCGCTGCTGACTTGTGGCCATTTCACAAAGCGCAATAGGCACAAGTAAGGTTCGAGAAACTTACAAGAGTGAAGAAAAAGGTCAGATTGGTTTTATTGGCGTCCGCCGAGAGTCGCAGCGTGGCGCTGTCTGCGTCACATGACCCGGAGGCCTTTGTGGTGTTGGGCTCGAGGTTGACGACATCTTGCACCGTCTGCAGATGCAGTGAGATGGACCGTGAAGCGTTTTACATGGAGAGATAAACAAGGGTGTGTACCAGCACCTGGTTTAAGGATGCGGAGCTAAAGCTGATGTTGAGCTGGAGGCCCATGTACGCCAGCAAGCACACGCTGCCATTAGTGCCGGTCACTTGGTAGTGCCCCGTCTCCGGGCTGCCAGGCTCCTTGTGTGGTGCCTCAGTGCTGGGGGGCGTCACGGTAGCCAAAGTTTGGTGCAGGACCAGAGCGGCTTCAACCACATCACACAGCATGTACAGAATACAGTATTACATAAATCCATTCGTTCATTTTCAATACCGCATTATCTTGATTGCAAAAATAAAGTCAGAAGAATACAGCTGATATTTTTTCAGTTAAAAAAAATAAAGACTCATTGTCATTTATAAAAAAAACACATCATATGGTTTTCTAAGTTTAGGGGGTAAGTCATGTTCCCACACAGGGTTAAGTAGCATTGAATCGCAAAAAAATTCTTTTTTTCATTAACTGCTGCTTTGTGACATCAGTTATGGTCTCCCAATAAAAAAACAAACAAACTCATCATAGCCATGAAAACAAAATGAGACGAGTTCATGAAAAGTGATGTTATTAACATAACGCTAATAGAGCGTGCCTAGGTGTGTTTTTAACCATGAAGTTCCTTTTAAAAACGTCGAAAAACCTGTATGTTACATATGACTTGGTCACGTGGGTTATGTTGGTAACCTTCCATACTTTCGTGACGTCCACAAAAAATGTGTTTTGTTTACCTTTGATAAATCAATACATACCAAAAATAAGATGCACGGTAAATGTCGGCCACCGTGTCTGGACACCGCCAGCGCTCGTCATGTTTTAGTCGTAGTTGGTGGCGGTCAGATCGTAGTCGAAAAAGAGCTCGACGACAACAACTTCAGCTAACACAGCTAGTACGCTACCTGTCTGTATGCTAACTTTAGCATGAAGATAAGGCTTGGAGAGCGGTTAAAAGCCCCAGGCACTGATAGAAAAGCTCCCAAAGTACAGCAAAATGAGTAAAGCCGTGGCGTTAAGGTGTTTCTGCTGCAGGGTTTAGGCTGCTAGACTTGGACTTGGTTTTAATGAAGCGCGGCCAAAGACCGATCAACAGGATCATGTGACCTGTAGTTATACGAACGCCTCAGCGGTCACGTGACGAGAAGCGCCGGTTTCTCATTTGACGACTAACATATCAATCAACAGAACTGCTTTCGAGAGTAGGCCAACAGTTAACTTGTGCCCATGGTCATTTTTGTAAACGGACAAACGGATCAAGTTAAAAGCAGAAGAGGTTAAAAAAAACAGAACAAAATATGTATCCAATTTATTTTAAATCGTTTATTTTCATAATTAAATAATTGTTTTATGCATTTAACCACACGTTGAAACTGAACACGTTTCGCTAAAAATTGTTAAATATTTTTTGTCATAATAAATAATTTAATCAATCATTTATTTAAAAAAAAAAAAAAAAGACAAGGTGTCATCACGCAAAAGGTTTTTACTTTCTGGACATGTATTTGACAAGGCTGCATACACATTAAAAATATGCATTTTTTTCTAGAGATAAACAGAACTAAAAACACCAAAACGCAACCTTGGTCTTATTTTGGGGGACTATATAAATAAAATACACAACAAAAAAAGTAAGATAAAATGACTTTTGGAAATACTTTGAGAAAAAAATATTCTCTGCATCCTAGTATAAGCATTGTTAATGGACATCCTAACTTTATCTTGACAGAAGAGCAAGCTTCTCTCATTCCAATTCAAAGAGAGGACAGTAGTGCTGTGCGACCAATTTTAAAGGTTTCCTAGCGAGAAACAAATGTTGCCCAACTCCTAACAACATAAGTGTGCTGCAACTAAATCAAGCAAAGATAAGGAATGCAAAGATTATGTCCTGTATTGAGTGGTACAGGTTAAATGTTGCACATTACCTGCTGTTTGAGACTGCTGCCCTAGAGTATAATGTGGTTCTTTTCTCTGCCACGCCTTCATGCACTCCTGACAAGATTCTTCTGGGATCCTGTGCACCGCCATTGTGACTCGTCACATTCATTTTGATGGCATCTGAATCTTCAAAACGGGTCTCTTGATGACGCGCTTGAGCTTGGGATAGAGGAATTCTCAAACTGAGCCAGGTCAAGGATGTTGCCCGAGTAGGACGATGCTCTTCTTGGCCAAGAACTGGACCCTCGGGCTGTTGTGATCAAGCATGTCATGCCAAAAGTCGTCCTGCCACAACTCTTGCCTCTTCTTGCACACTGAACAAAGTAAAAGCTGCAGGATCTCTCCTTAAACATACTGGTTGATCATTTGTCCCTTGTTGAAATGGGAAAACTCATAATTTGTCATGTGGAATTTATCTTTTGTGACCCACAGGAAGGTCCAAGCTGAGCTTCAAACCATGAACCTCAGAACTGTGAGGCAGCTGTACCTATCAGTACCCCATCATGCTACCTGTTTATTTCTGTATACATAATTACATCATTCTTAACCATGTATGATTTTTGGAAAACGGCACATGGTTAAATTTCACATGAATAACATTTCATAGTTTACTGCTTTACAAATTGGAATTCATTTAATGAAGAATCAGAAGTCTGGGTAGGAAGACAGAGAACCAAATGGTTGTTTTGGCAGCGAGGGAAAACAAATTAGCGGTCATTAAAACATGCTTGCATCTAATTAAAAGTCACCGGGGGCAAAACCTCAGTCAGAGGTCCTTTTACATTTCACACGGTTGGCTAAACTCTCGATGTAACTTACACCAACCCGCGTGTTGAAGTCACATTGGGGTGTGATCCAGCCAACACCAACTTTCATGTCCATAATATGAACAAACACAAGAGACAGTATCTAGCAAACATCACACACACCTGTAACCTTTGGAACAAACATTCATTGAACAATTTTGAAATTTTACACTGTCAGACAGGTAGTCATTTAACATTACATTGAGGACACTGGTTGACAGAAAATTTTTGACACAGATTTTAAAAAAAGAAAATGTCTTTACTTTTGTGTGGCACATCAGTTTTTTTTTGTTTGTTTGTAAAAACCTGTTGGGCTAGGGGAAAAAAACAAAACAAGGGAAGATTCCTAATCAGCAGATTTTTGAGAAATGAGCCATCGTTTGGCCGATTTTGTGCTTTGAAGAACGGCTATTCAGTCCAACTTATGAAAACAAAACAAGCTCATGTCAAAACACTTGAAAATGGTTTAATGATGTTTACAACAAAAGAGAACTGTACACTTACAGTAAAAGATTTGTATATGTGTAAAAAAAAAAAATACAGCAGACAAACCCATCAAAAACTACTATGCATCCTGATTCACATACTTGAAACTCCTACACAGTCTTTCAGTTTTATGCCACCATTGCTGGAGGCGTTTTTTTTTTTGTTTGTTTTTTTTGTCTTTTTTCCTTTTTGTTTGTATTTCCATGTATTTTTTTGGGAACAGTGTCCCTCAGTGTTTTTAGTCCAAGATGGTAACTCTTTAAGTTAAGAGTTCTGTTAAAAAGATTAGACCGCAGAGGAAAAAAAGTAAGAAAAAAAGGCGAGGGGAAAGTGTCCACTGTGAGTAGTTTAACACAATGGCTTTCTGAAGATAGACAGAAAGAATATGTACATGTTGGATTTTTTGTAATCGTTTTTCATCATATTTTATCTCTCGATAAAAGCCCTGGTCATTTTGGCTGATATCGCACAACACGCCCAAAAACATACAAAAATACAATGTCTTCAACCTAGTAAGACAGTTCTGCAATTAGTTCCATGCTGCAACAGAGACCGAGAGACAGAGAGAGAGCGAGAGCGAGAGCGAGAGAGAGAGAGAGAGAAATGACAACAAACAAGAAACGGACTATTATTCCACACACTTGATTTTTTTTTTCTTGACAGAAATATATCAAAATATACATCTGAGCTTTGGAATTACTGAGGCTTGGACTCAAAGCCAGTGCTGGGTTTGTCTCTTAATACACATGCTGCAGGGCGGTTAGGAAGAAAGAGACAGTTGACAAGAGATATCTTTGGTATCCGTGTTTCGCCCATACACACACAAAAGTTTAAAATATTTGGAGTTTTGCTTTGGGATCTATAGCGCTTGTGAGGGTTCCCGATGTCTCACTTGGGAGTAAAGCATTGAGCAAAGTGTCACTGAATACCCCACCGGGGGATGCATAGTGTCACAGTTGATCAGTCTGTAGTGAATGAGTGAAGGAGGAAAGGTACGGAAGGGAGGACACAGTGTGATGCGTTTACAGCAGTGAAATTGAGTGGGTTTGGGATGTGTCACTCAAGGGTTGTATGTCCTGGGATGGACACTTATTTTTTTTTAACCAAAGTCCTTGAGAGGGAAAGACAGAGAGCGAAATGTGGAATCGAGCAACAGCGCTCCAAACAGACAGATAGACGGTCAGACACACAAGGAATCCTGAGCATGTACAGAGTGCACAGGATTAACCCTCAGTGTGTATTAACAAACATCACCCAGCTACCACAAACAAGTGTCCATCAAAGAAGCCCTCTCAACCACCCCAATCCCGAGCCTCTCTGGGTACCCCTGCCCACCCACAGGCACTGAAAACTGCAGCACCGACCGTGGCGAAAACATTCGCATGCAGTCAAAGCTAATGCACCCCAAACACGTGTGGGTGAGCTGCTCGATGAGGAGCAGTGAGGCAAGAGGGTGGGCCGCATTCATGTACAATCAGTTATTAGTCTTTGGTTAATGTTGTTACCACGGGATGGCGCCACCTTGCAAAGCTGATGGGAGGAAAGGGAAGGGGTGATAAAGCATCCACACCAGGTTACAGTCAGAAAATAAGCAGGATTGTCAAATTAAAAAGGACGAGTAATCCAGGTAAAGTGTGCGAGAGACATTGTTAAAGAAAACAAAACATTCGTGAGTACTGGTGTGTACCCCTCGTGGAGGACGCATCACATCAAGAATGAGCGGGCTTCTCCGAGGACACGTTCATATGTTTTCAAATATTTTCTTATTAAGTAGGTTAAAGCAGGTTTCACTCAGTTTTGAGTTAGAAATGAGGTATACTGGTGCATCCACGCTTCATCTGTCAACGTTACGAAAAAAAAGAAAAAAAGCGCGGTGGGTCGACTTAACGTACCAATCCACCGGGATCTGCAACTTGATCAAAATGAAGCGAAGCAAAGCCAGTTGACAAATTATCGCAGGTCTGAAACCATGAAACAGCGTTTGTCACCAACAAGTGAAAATAGGGATGGGCATTTGTCCAAATTTCATTGATCGAACATAGAAAAATACACTTAATTGAAAGAATGTTTTTCAAACACTATTAAGGATGAAAGAAATAGTGGCCCTACATTAGAACCTTGAGGCGCTGTAAAAGAAAAGCGATGAGCAGTTCACAAAATTTGAATCTGTTAAAACACACACACACGAACTAACGCGCACGCGCGCACACAAACACACACACACTTTTTCAGGAATCTCACGGGATGGGAGTCAACTTGACCTTTTATCATAGGATTGGGACGGTATAGGATAAAAAACAAATTCATGGGAACAGGATTATTCAGTGGGGGAAAAAATCCTCTGAGACTCAATGAGGAGAAAGGGGTGACAAACTGTTCAATGAATGAGTAAATTGCAACTTTGGTTGTTTGTTTTTTTCACGCACTTGACCTACAAATTGGGAGTGGTATGGGAGTCATTTTGTATGGGAGCAGGACAAGAGTCGTTTTCACCAGAATGGGACAGGGTTACTATAGGATGGGATTTTTTTTTCTGTGGGAGTGGGGGGTGATAATCCACTCCTATCACCTACTAGCCCTCTCGAATGTGCACTCTAACCGCAATTGGCTGATGAATATTTAGTATAAAGGCAGACTCGGACAGTTTCATTGGTCCACTGTGATGTGTTTGATAGTTTCATTGGTCAGATGTGTCGAAACTATGTGTAAATCTATTGGCGGCTTGAAGCTTGTCAGTAAAAATCCATAAATAAATCACCTCAAATTATCAGCCGCAGTGTGGAAAGAGTAGGGAAAAACAGCGCCTGAAGGTCAGGAAAATACGTTATATTTCAAAGGAAAGCGAAAACCTGCACTCCAAAGTAGACAGAAGGAACGGCAAATCTGCTGGTTGAAACAAATAAGTGTACCTTATTTTTTTCACAATTGCTTCACGACATGGTACAAAATAGCAATCTACAATCAAAAGAATCAACCAAATTCTAATTAATTTTAAGATTAATCAATGATTATGCCCATCCCATCTCCAAAGTCAATGATGGGGAAAAAAAAAAAACGCACAATGGTTTGCAGACTGCGTTTCAATACTCTACAATGCTCATTCATTCACATCCGGACGCCTACCTGCTGGAATTATTAGTAAAGCTTTTCTTACAGGCATTGCTTGAGTCACACCTAAAATACACAGGTAGCAAAGTGAGCATTTCACACTCAAAATGCCTAAAGTACACCGTATTGTGTCAGTGACAATGCACCTAGCGACACTAAGCTTGAACAGACAGACAGACACACAGACAGACGTTACAATGCAATCATGTCATCTACATTACAATAAGGCATAAATGATAACATTTATCGTCTTTGTCAAACTAAGAAAGCCAGTGATCGTGCCCTCTTACACTATACAAATCAGTTGAAGGCATAAAAAAAAAAAAAATTTAAAAATGATTGTTTAAAACAGCACAGCAAATCAAGTCCAAAATGACTCAACTAAAAAAAATGAACATATAAATTTAAAAATAAACATACTTCAGAGTCTCCGCTCTACCAGCCAGACGACCTGAGCGTCAAAGCGCTTCCCCCTAGCGAATAGACATTGTCATGCCTTTGACTGGCGCACCGACCGCAGTGTTTTTTTTTTCTTCTTTTTTTGGTCTTAACCGCTTTAAAAAAAAGAAAATAAAATTAAGGAAGATTTGGGGGTCATAAACACTACATTCAGTCTGAGTAACATACAGGATCATATATAAAATATGATATCTTACACGTTTGTGTGTGTGTGTATATATATATATATCTATATATCTATATATCTATGTATAGAATTAAGAAAAGAACATTTCTCAGATTCTTAGGTCTTTCCTCAGATAAATATATCAGTAACATCCTATAGCACCGATGGTGTCCGGTTCGTCTCGCAAATGCGTTCGGATGTCGCGTAACTACAAACGGCAGCGGAATAGAACTGGCCTCCATCGGTGCGTGGCGGCCTCAAAGACACGAGCAGCCATAAGCCGGCCGAGCTGCAAAGAGAAAGGCTATTACTTTGGCAAGAATGATCTCTTCGTCAATCACCATGAATCCGCAGAAGAGAAAAATTAAATAGTAGTACGAGAAAAAGCAGTAGTTGTCCTATCATGTACGGTTCCTATGTAGCAGTATAACTTGTGAATGGTGAGCCAAGCGTTACTTATACATTCCACACTGTATTACGAAATTTCAAAAAATGTGAACCTTATGTTTAAGTGCTGCTGAGGTATATTCAGTCAAAATTAGTTGACAGAAAAAAAAGTACAAGACGATATCTTGCTGGCGACATGCACAGTAATTTCTTAATCACTGCTATATGGTTAGTCAGAAGCAGCAGAACAGTGACGCTATAGTTTTGGGGTTTAGTTGAATGTGTGGCACATAACAGTCCTCAGCCAAAAAGCTGCAGTGACTAATTGGAGCCAAGGCTCTGAGAAAGCTTTGGGGCACTGCATTGTTTAGATGCTGGTTCAAATGGTAGCGATGACCAGATCTACAGTATATGTTGACTACGGATGGGCATTTGACAAAATCAGCGTGAACGATTTATCACTGGTTGTTATTTTGGCTTTTTTTAAATAAATTACATGATGAAATGTGAAGAAAGAGTGGACCTCGATAAGAGCCTTGTGGCTCACCATGCTTTACTGTATGTCTCGGGATAAGCACTTTGCAAAATTTACTGTACTTGATCAATTTATGGAGAATATTTGAAACACTATATTTGATAGAAATGACAAATATTGTCTTGAATGTTTGAGGAGCAAACTCAACTGAATCAATGGCACCTCTGTTGGTTGCAGCCACGTAGTGGACTCCAATTTGCCCCATTTGCTTCAGGACACTATGAATCAACACCAATTCCAAACAAACCAAATTCTTCAATTAACCTATTATGTTATGATAGTGGCGAATGAATCCACCAGTAGTGCATTCAATGTCACTTACTTTGAGACGCGATTCATCTCCAAATTCATAATCAATTCCAATGCCCATCCCTAGTGTTGACATAGTGGAGCCTTACAGACTCCTGAGCCACAAAGCCTGCTCTTCACACAATGTGCTAATAAAGCTATTAAGAAAGCACGGAGAGACAGGCTGTTAAAGCAGGCATTCCATCCGTCCTTCTCCAACTGCACCAAATCAAGAAAAGTGGGTGCTGACATTTGTGAACGGAAACTGCAGTGCTCAGACAGGCACAGCCGCTATTAAGGAAAACCACTTTGGTTCAAGCTGTTGTTTTATGGCTGTATTATTTGTACAAACCCCGCAAAAAATGAGTTTTTTTCTGCTTCACAGACACCCAATAGATGCTACTAAAACGGTTAAAACAGGGCCATCAAATGGCTCTGAGAGCAAATGTTTGGGCGAGGCCCAGTGAAATAAAAATAAGAAACGAGTTTGTCATGCTCCAACCCAGCCCTTCCTTGGTTTTTGGTCAATTGTGCTGCCAATTATTATATGTGAAAGACTTTCAAATAAAAAAAGGTAATCTTTGGAAAATGATCAAAATATTGCATTTTTATATTCCGCTGACAAAATGAAGAGAGATTCTGGTCATAAATAGATCAACTAAACTACATCGACTACAGTTATGTTAACAAATATTTTTGGTATATCTTAAAGTACGCAGCCACTCGAACGACCGCAAACAAATGGGAAAAGGTAATTTCTCTCACAACTGCTCATCAATCCAGTTTTTTTTTTTTTTTTTTTTGGTACAGATACTGTGCACAAGTAGATATGACGGTACTACCATTATAAAGAAAAAGATAGAAAAAAAATCTATTTAGTCAACATCACCCTACATTTAGTGTGACGACCACACCCCCTGACAGGTGATCTTAGTTCAAACCACTGAGCCTTGTGGATCATTTGGTTACTTAAGTCTCAGTGTCACTCTGAGCTTTACACAACACACGGAGATGTCTGCCCTCCATCTTTAACCACTGTTTCACTCCATGTGTTTTTAAAGCTGTTGAACGTTTTCAGTCATTTTCCATCAGTGTCTACAATCGGCAACGTTTTTAACAAGCTCAGCGGCTGTTAAAAGTCAGTGTTTCCAGGAAGAGAAACTCATAGAGACCAAACAGGTCCCTGCGCTTCTTAAAGCAATGATAACCTTTATATCGGCCACTTATTACTTGTTTTTAAAGCCTTACAACCACCATTTTTAAAAAAGAGATATTTAAATCTTAACTTACTATACTTGCAAAGTTGGGAAAAAAAACATTAAATACATTAAAAAAAAAAACAATGAAAATAAAAGTGATATGATTCATATCAAGGCCTGTTCCAACAAACGTAAAAGTTGATCCCCGTTAATGATAACATGTATTATGAGGTTAGTATTAAGTTTAGAGCAAAATCATTTTTTTTTCAGAAGTTGTTCAGAAAAGATGTTAAGTGAGACTGCATGAAATAGAAGGACGTATGTACAAAATGTGAGGAGCTTGACAGTATCGAGGGAAAATTGTCTTCCTGGTTCAAGAAGCCAGTCCCCATTTGGCTACTGTGTCCAAAGATCATAAAGATTAAGAGAGAAGAACCCAGAAGCAAAAAGGTCAAGCACAACCCTGTGTGGTTGGGTTTTTTTTTTTTGTTGTTGGTTTTTTTTGGGCGTGCGAAAGCAAAAGGGACCAGACTAAATAATAACAGATACGATGGAGCTGATATATGTGTGTGTGTGTTAGTGAAGCGCAGAACCATAAATCAAACGACCTTGCCTATTTCCTGTGCCGTGTGTGAGGAGAGCAGTGCACAGCTCAAGAAACAGGGCGTTCATTCCGGATGCAGCCGGACTCACTGCGCCTTGGAGGCAGTGGTAATCGTCGTGGCTTGCACAGGCACAGCGGCCGTGGAGACCTGGTGATGGGCGTCAGTGGTGACCTGCAGCCCGCCCGCCCCAGCCGACACCAGGCTGACGGGGTTGCTGGTGAGTAGCGACAGGTTCTGGGGGTTGAGGAAAAGCGGTGTGGTCACCAAGTTGGGTGCGTTGCTGCCAGATGCGTTTGCGAACAGCAGGTTGCTTCCATCCAGTGCCGTTATTGGGATTGTGCCGCTTGACGCCAGGGCTGTAGGGACACCGGTGGTGAAAATGAAAAAGTTGTTTGGTGTCTAACAAATAAACGAAAGATGTTTCTGAGCAGTGGCATTTTTATTTGGAAAAGAAATCAGTGGAGCTTCAACCACCGATACTTATTTACTTCACTGCAAACCTGAAGAAAATGTTTGTGCCATTGGACAATTAAGATATATAACCGTTTGGGTAAGTGTGGAGCTTGTTACTTCCATGTATTGCAGTACCGTAATCATGCAAATTCACCTAGGTGCGTTATTTTCTGTGGAACCCATCTCCAACTGTTTAACAAAAAACTCAATTTGTGGTTTTTGTGCACTTTCTGAAACGTCCTCAGATGCCACAAGATCATGCCCAAGATAGTCTAATAGGAAGCTAGTGCATTCGTGCCAAAGAACCATGTTGACTTCATTTTTCGACTGGGAGATCATCTTTCCATGTAGCTGAGGAACTAAATTTAGCTGAGGTTGTGAAAAGAAAAGAGTCTTTGCCACATATGCATGTATACAAGCACTTTGGGAGGGTTTTTTTTTTTTCCCCAAAATCAAAACACCTGATATACACATATTTTTACGGGTTATGTTTCGGGGTGTGCATCTCTTGTATTGCTAACGCAAGTCTCGAGCTTGCGGACTTCAAGAGAACCATTACTCTTTCTCTGATATATATTTACCAGCAGTCTGGATGGTCCCTGACACCATGCTGCCACTCACGGGTCAGTTTTGGTACGACATTTGTTATGTGTATGGTGCGCAGTGTCAGTTCCATCCCATACAAGCACCCCACACACATGCACACACACTTAGAGCAGTAAGCATACATCGCGATTGTTTTCCTTGTCATGTGTGCTGACACCCATTTTAAAAATCGGTTATGACGTTATAAATCATTGTGTAGAGCACGCTTTACAATGAGAACGTAATGCACATCAGCACTTTTCATTCAAGTTCTTAAATTCTTGATTAGTCTAAATAAGCAGAACTATTTGTCTAATGGAGACATGGTGTCTACCAGAGTATAATCTGTGTGGTTTAAAATTAAGCCTGCACGATTATAGCCAAAATGATAAACACAATTACATTAATCACCATTTTAATCATGATTATGACTCACCTTGCGTCTATCAGCTGACCTTTTCTCTGGAAGTGGTATTTGCATACTCTAGGATTCTGTATTTTTAATGAGGCGGAAAGGTGTAGATGTCATTTTAATGAGGTGATTACATTTATAGTGGGAAAATGCATGAAACACAAATTACAAATCCGAGCAGGGATATATTGTCTGTCTGGAGAGGATATTTAAATGATCTTTTAGTATGCAATGAATGTTGCGATGATGTTGAGATGAATGCATTAATCTCAAGAGCACTTTAGTGCAATGTCCTTTGCCTTTAAGTCATGTACATATTCATTTGTAAACAATTTGATTTGATATTTTAGTAATCCATTTAAAAATTTAACACTCAAAGCACACACCCGTAGAAAGCCTTGTCATAGGCTATCAAAACTGAATTGTAGTGGCAAAACATTCTTGAGCAGGACTTTTTTGTCACCCTCCCTCTTGCAAAACACTGTAATACCCCATTTTGTAGCTTTATTCTTTTCAATCATTTTCCGAAAATGTCATTTTATATTAATTGTAAGAAGCAATCATTGGTAATATTTGGTGGTTTGTTTTTTTTGGGGGGATTCCTCTTTGCTTTTGTAAAGGATTTGGGGACTACGATGCCTCGAATTTGTATTCATACATACAGTACACATGTATGTAGTTATATCTGAGCGATTCCACCAGAAAATATTTGTGAAGTAAAATGAGGCTCAAAATGATACTTACCTTGAATTGTGGCCAGCATGCTATTGTTCATGACAGCAGGAGTCAGGGCACTGCCAAGGCCACCGGGGGTCAGACTGAGCACGGCCCCACTGCAAACACACAGTTATAAACTATGGAAGAAAACCACTGAGGAGATGATAATGAAGGAGGAATTACTAACCCTGGAGGAAAGGAGGAGGAGCCCATTAATCCTGGATTCAGCCCTGCCGCAGCAGCCATGGCCGCGAAGCTCGCGCTGGTGGGCAACTGGGCAGCCCCCTGAAACGCTGTGGACAGACCTGGTGCAGCCACCATCACCTGGCCCGTTCCGAGGGTGGTGCCTATGGATGTCGGGGCCTGGGTGACGATGGCCTGCGCCTGAGTACTGACTTTATTCTCTGTGGTGTTGGACTGAACAGCCGTCGGGGACGGACTTAGAGACGGCGAGCTGGTTACTGTGGTAATCACGGGTGTGGTGGAGATGACAGATGCAGTGTTTGTGGCTCCAACTGTGGTGCCTTGGAAGGAAAGTGGGTCATTAGGGATTATTTGGAGTGGGGAAAATGAGATTTATACACTACAATGTCCCAAGTCAAAAGCTTTAAAGGTCTAGAAATTGTACTAGAATTTTCTGAATAAGTGTACAAAATGTGTGCTGATGTGGCGGTATATCACACAAGCCATCATGAATGCTTCGGAGTCTTGTTCATTAGGAAGGATATTGGAAAGTGAGGTAGGAATACCCACTGGAAATTACCATAAATTTGAGCTACCAGTGTAACAAACATACCTGTGAAGGATAAACTGGACACACTGGTGCTGGTGAGAGGCATCACTGGATTTATAGTGAGAGTGGTGGGTGTGTTTATCGTCGGACTGTTCACCAAGCTTGCTGTGCTGGCCACCTTGAAAAATAAAATATGAATTGACTTCTTATGCCAACATTTGTTAAAAACCAAATATGAATCTGAGGGCAAATGAGCCAACTGAGCCTGTATTTCTTGTGCATGTGCTTCCTCACCAAAGGGCTACTGGGTGTAAAGATGGTTTTTATGGGGGTGCCGCCTATGCCGCCTGTGCTCGGGGGGTTTATCCTTTTCTCTTTCTGACGGCGATTGCAGAACCAGACCCGGATCACCTCCTTTTCCATGTTGAGCTGGTCAGCGATCATGGTAATCTCTTCAGAGGTAGGTTTTTGGTTCTGCTTGAAGAGGGCAAAGAAGCCAAACAGACCTTGTCAGTACAGGTCACTTGAGACTACCACATCTTTTAACATAAAAAAAATAAAAATAAAAATAAATGGTCCGCCCAGCCAGTCTCATTGCTTCAATTAACTACAGTATATGCAGTATGTTGCTTTAAATACAACTTGCTTCCAACCTCCAGAAAGCTCTTTTCTAAGGCCACGCGGATGTTGGTTTCTATACTAGTCCTTTTCTTCCGTCTGCGGTTGATCCCCTCAATGCCCATGCCAGGGGAGCCGAGGGCACTGGGGGTGGACAGCCCCTGGTCAGATGTCAGATTCTCTGCACAAACAGCACCGACGCAACAGAAGGAGTGGGAGGTAAAGGCGAGGAACTGTCGAGATGACCGCACCAATCGCACCGTGCACATAAAATATGTTTGAGGAGGTTCAGGGACAAACCTGCATCATTTAGCCACTTCTCCAGCAGTGGCTTGAGTTTGCACATGTTCTTAAAACTCAAATTCAAGGCCTCAAAGCGAGAGATAGTTGTTTGGCTGAAGTCGTTTCCATACAGCTTACCCATGGCCAGGCCAACGTCCCCCTGGTCACATGGAGGGACACAGAGTGTAACGAAAGACAATATTACAGGAGCCATAAAATATATTCCATGGGCAGGGTACCTGTGTAAAGCCGAGTTTGATTCGCCTCTGTTTAAATGTTTTCGCAAACTGCTCCAGCTCTTCCAGATCACTTGGCTCCTCCAAAGTGGGCGTATCCAGCTGTTTGGTTGGCGTCTGACTGTGGGGCAGCGACTGAATAGGTGTGGCTGTCGTGGTACGTGTAGGAGTTGCAGGCTAAATGTTGCAAAGGAAGAAGAAAAAAAAAGCAAAGCGATTAGATTTGAGAGAGGGTGCCAAAGGGGTTATTATGAAACACGTTCATCTGAAAATAACACCAACCTGTGCTGCAAGAGTGATGCTCGGTTGCGTCGGCAGGGGGTTAGCTTGGCTTTGAGGTAGTTGAGTGAGAAGACTCTGCGCTTGCAATATGCCTACACAGTTAACAACAGCCAAAGGACGGAAGATAATAAAAATCAGCTTCTGTTACTGTCACTCATCTCTTACTTCCCCTGAGACTGTTGTTTTCTTACTCTGCTGGGCCTGCGGTGTCTGGGAGATGATGAACTGAGCGGGCTGCAGCGGAGTGGCGATCGGGTGGCCGGGCTGCACCAGCACAAACTGGGGCAGACTTAAATTCTGCTGCTGCAGCTACCGAGACAAAAACACTATTTTTAATACGACACATATGATGACTGTGCCATTTAGGTTTACATCATGTATAAGGGGATACGCTAAATATCCTCTACTGCTGTTTCGTCGTCATGACAGGTCTGCAGCTGATGTTTTCGCTCGATATGTTGCTGCTCGTACATTGATGAATTATTCCATGCAATTCTCATGGCACAAACACAACATAAAACTATGTTCACAATGTAGCTCAATTCCAATTTCTTTGCCCATATATGACAGAGATCAGTTTTTCTTTTTTTTTCCCATACAGTGGAAAAGTACAATTCCGATTTTCTAATCCAATTCTGGGCCTCTTTCGTATGTGGATATAAATCAGATATGTATGCGATGTGTCTTGTATGAATGCTCATCCAGACACATCTGACCTATACGTCATCAAAAGCCCAACATGCACTCCGCGCGGGTGTGGTAGAATGCTTGGTAGGAGATTATTGACAATAATCGTCCACAAATCTGCATTCTTTTGAGAAACAGTGCCGACTTTAATTCCACTTGAAACATGAAGCTTGAATTTGAGTTATTTGTGGTGAGAGTAGTAGTTCAGTAAACGGCTCATTGATTACGAAATAATTTGGCATTTCAAAACATTCCAACGCAGGGAAAAAAAATTCCAAATAAGTAGAAAATTGACTAGAATGATTACTATCTTACAGGAGATATCTGGATGGGCTGTGAGAGGGGTAGCTGAGTAATGGGTGTGGCTGCAGAGGCTGAGATACTGGCCCCACTGGTGCCGTTCTGCTGGTTGGCTGAATGCTGCACAGCCGCAGCCAGGAGCTGAGCCTGGGCCTGGTGAATTAACAGCTGCTGCTGGGGGGTCAGGGTCAGCTGGGGGGAGAAGAGAACAACACACAAAATTAGAAAGGGGGGGAATATACATCTCACACAGAGGGAGTATTGAATGGTACAAAACATGGGTGCCCAAGTGCAGTCCTCAAGAGTCCCTATCCAACCTGTTTTACATGTTACCCCTTTGTTACCCCTTGGTTCCTTGCTATAGATTGGAAGGCACGGACCTAGTGAATACAGGTCAAAGGGATGACTTTATTTTATAGTCTCGTCCCCTCACTTAACTTTTCATAAAGCTATCAAAGTTGATATTTTTTCCTGTCATAGTAAGACAAATGAGGTTAGGCAGGCAATATGGACGGAGACTAATGCAGTTGAGCCAGGCCTAAGTGCTAATATCCATGATGTCACTCAAATCAAACAGCACAGCAATTATGACTTCCGTTTATCCAGCCAACCACTCTATTACATGAAGGCATCGCCTGTGAAACGTAGCCACTGAGCCGAGATGTGGTAAGCCTACTGAGGCAAAACATGTTTTGCTTAAGGAAATATTCAGAGACAGTCTGAGGGCCACAAAGATGGAGCAGACAGATGTGGCAAAGGTGGCACTCGCCTTGTAGCAATGAAATCAGGGCAAGCAGTCTCACTTCGGTCAGCCGTATGGCCGTAAATCAGCCTATAAAGGCAAAAGGCCACTTACTCCTGCAATCTACCCCCGGCCAACATGAGCTGGGTTTGAGGCAATGTGCTCTGGTGGACGGAGGTCGGAAGAGCACTTCCGGAGTCTTCCGACTTTGACTAGTGGATGGGGAGAGGCATAAGATGAGGGTTGTTGACTTGGTGAGCTTGTCTTTTTAGTGTGGCTGAAGATGTTTTAGATCATGTATAATTCAGACCAGAAATTTTGAGCCTCATTTCATGTATAATTCAGATCACAAATTTTGAGCCATCTACTAACTGATCACCTTTGGCGAGCGGCTGAAGTCTCTGCGGGAGTGAGAGGATTTCAAGTCAAAGAAAAAGTGCAAGAGCGAGCACTTAAAAATGTGCCGCAGCCTTTTGAGACAAGGGAAGAGCGAGGGAGGGCAGGCGCCGCAATTGCTAATTAAAATAGCGGTTATGCGGCGCATGTAAATCCTGCATAGATTTGCATATTCCCCGCCATCTGTTTCCAGGCAACGGCGGGAGCAAGCTAATTAGCATACAGGCTTGATTAATCTGCCTTGTTGCCTGGTGACGGCAAAGGAGCCGGGGCTCATTCAAATGAGGTTGTTCTGCCTGTGTGTGTATATACATGAGTGCCAAAGAGCAAACCTCTTCAAACGCAACTTAAATTCCTTCTTCGAATACAGCGGAAACTCTTTAGTGAAACCCAGTCCTTTCCGTTACACTGGGTGACTTCAAATTGCTATAATTTCAATCGCTACAAACTAATATTTCATCACGATAATAAAATCTTGGCAAAGTAAAATTTTAACATTTTTTATTGTTTCAGTGCATTCCAAATTACATTGCAAATTATGTTTTCCCCCAAATTTTAGTTTATGCAAGTTGAACTGGAAATTTTCCACTCATCAAATATTACAGAATAATTTGAATGTTTACAAACAAACCTGATAATTTCTTTTTGAAAAATAAAGAAATTTTTGTTGAAATGCACTGTTTCAAATTATTATGCACAGCAATTTTTCATGCCATTTTGTAGGTTGTAAAGAACTGAAAACTGTCATTTGTTGAATTTGCAACATTAGGCTGTTGTATTTGATGAAACGAGACGCTATTTCAATGAAAAACATCTTAACAGGTCAAGTTACAGTACATTCCAACATATGACCTCTTATTTGATAGTAGCTTTGCACGTCTTGCATCAGTTGAACTTGAGAGCTTTTGGACAGCTTCCGCTTTAATTTGTCTCTCGGATGTCCGCACAGCAGAGCTGCTGTTTGGATGTAAACTACCTCCTACCCTCATCATAAACCTTTTGCTTCAAAGCTTCTCAATGGGGTTGATGGTCAGGGGATGATGGGGGCCACACACAGGTTACTCTCCATTTTTGCCCAAAGCAGCCCATAATGCGGAGGAATTTCTTGCGGCATAAGATTGTCATGCATGAAGATGATTTTGTTTCCTTACTTCTGTTCTTTGTTTTGTAGCATCGAACAAATTAGTCAGTCAGAAACCCCAAATAGTTTTCAGAGGTTACTGTCACACCTTCAAGGACCAGCTCGTGTCATGACTCAGCTGCTAACTCCCTGCCGGTGTTGCTGCCTGGTTAGGGCATGGTGGCCTATTCCATCCATTTTGACCATCCAGGTGTGCACGGCACTCATCAGTCAACAATCTTATGCTGCAAGGACTACCTTTGCATCATTGGCTGCTGTGGGCACAAAAGGGGAGAAATACACGGTGCGGCCCCACATCTTACCTCAACCCTGTTCAGAACCTTTGGAGCATCCTCAAGCAAAGATCTATAAGGCTGGGAGGCAGTTCACATCGAACCTTTTGATTTCAGCAAATACAGCCTCTGAATACTCCAAATGCAACAAATGACCATTTTCAGTGATTTACCAACTATAAAATGTATTGAAACACTGTTATGCACAACAATTGAAATTATTCTCGAACAGTTGATTTGAATGCTGAGTGCCGTTTATATGGACTATTTATAAACATCTGAGAAAAACAATTTGCATAATAATTGCAATGTATATGTCAAGTAAAAATGTGAGGTCGTATGAGAATCGTGTAATTAAATGCAAAACGATTCACCGTTTCAAGATTGTCTCGGTGGATTTTTATGAATATTGCTGGATTTAAGCAATGTGCAGTGTACAAGGGTTATTGTACTTGGCAAAGAAAAAAAAACTGCCATATAATAAGTGAGACACGTGATTTGGGTTGAGCCAACTCCGATCACCAACTGACAATCTGGCGGATGTTACGAAACTGCAGTTGTTTGTTTAAATTCAAACCTCAACCTATAGCCAACTTGAGTGACGTTTTTGACAATGTGATCGCGATATAATTTCAACATCGCAGCACCCACATAATGGTCGATGGAGATTTCCATCTAGAAATAGTTTCAAACAACATGTAGGCTGTGCAAATGAGGGATTATGGCTCGGGACCTCCTCTATGCCCAAGGGCAATTGGAACGCAGCTATTTTATTTTTTTTATTTGGATAAGATTATTTTACTGTATTTCTTGTTTCATTTTTATTATAATCATTTTAATTGTTGTGTTTGTGATGATTATTTTTCATCACACGTTTTTTTTTTCAAGTCTTATAGAAATATAGATGACTTGAACAAAAGTTCCACGGTAGCTCATCCAAACCAGATTTTTAGAATGAAGCATGCGTGACGTTCTTGTTACCTGTTGGAGGAGGGCTTGTGCGTGTGCATTGGTGATTGCACTTGTGGTTGGCACGGTCGGCCTCTGAAAGTCCAATCCATTGATTGGGATCCCTGCGGACGGACACGCAGTCAAACATCTGGCGAGTTCAAGGATGTTTTTGCTTTCACAACAAAGTACAAACACAACAATGGAAACCCACAATGAAGAAGAATCACTGCATTGCTGTCGACATCTGTTGTCAGACCTTAAGTAGCAACCTGCATGGATCTCGTTTATCAATACAACCATGCATAATCACTAGCACTTCTTTGTTAATAGCACGCAATGAATATGTTTTCATCGAATGAGTGTCAAATCATTAGTTTCATTGGCACCACGCAAAGAAGAAGTTACTCGAACATTTTATCGTCGCTTTGGTCCAATTCAGTCCTCCAACATGTCATGAGCTGTTTGGCAACTGTTACAAGTAGGAATAAGAGGCCTTTTGAAAGTCAAGGAGCAAAGGAAAGGAATGATGGAAAAGTCACTCACCAGTGTTCCTGTCACCACTTTCCATTGCACATTTAGTAGTTTCTGACTGATTATTCACTTTAACATCTGAAAGAGACAGACAGGAGAAAGCATGATGATCCAACATACAGTAATTATTCTCTTTCGATTCTAATTGCTTAAATGTATTTCATCTCGGCATGATGATCTCAATACAATCACTGCAGCCCAAAACCACAAAAGGACTATTTGGAATGGAATGCATAAGCATGGCAGTTTCTAAAAAATGTCTAAAAACCGTCAGGTTAGTGTTTTTCATTCCTATTGGGACCCACTACTTATTAACTCTGTCGCAGCCCCGTTTAAAAAAAAACAGAAAAACTCACCAGCCTAAGCTCCACCTGTGGTTTCAAGCATGGTTGCAGAGACTATTGAGTGAAAAAAAAAATAAAACTACCTCCGTCGGGCAAACCCCCTCCCCACTTTTCAGTGCGTCTGGTGTGAGGCTCCTCCCACTGCCCGTTTCCCTCTCCCCCTCTTTAGTGGCCCGCTAGCAGCGGTCAAGAGCAGCAGTCGCGCTTCACCGAGTAACACTGGGATATGCGCACGGACAACGTTAACGGGGTTTAAGCAAGCAGCACTCCTTCCTGCTATCTTCTTTTCTTGTGGCACTGCCCCCCCTCTTTTTCCCTCTCCCTCTCTCTGTCTCTCTTTCTCTGTCTCTCCCCCCCCCCCCCCAACTACATCACACAGCCCAAGTTGCTATAGCTACTACATCACACAGCCCAAAAGTCTTTGGCTTTTCTTGTTGCACTACGACACGAAGCGTACAAGTGATGTGATGATATAACCATTGGATAAGGGCTGGGAAAAGTTAACCACAAAAAAGAAAGTAAAAATAAAAAAATTGAACCACACACAAATTTCTGCCTCAAAACGATCATTAATAATTTTAACACCATAATTATGACACCCGGAACTAATATTTGGCCACTTCAATGTTTACCGCACGGACATTAGTGCAATACTCAAATATTAAAACAATGCCCAAGGTCTTGGTTGTTATAGACTTAAAAAAAGGGAACAAAAAGTTTTATGTAGTTATTGCAAAGTGGAGATGATGGATCTTGGAGACAGGAATGTGTACTCGTGGTGACGAGCCGGCCGGCCAGTCGGCGGACGCCTACTACAAGAGGTAATAACTCCACTTTAGTGCCTTTTAAGTAAACTAGCGCTGAACAAGCTGAAGCCTTGTCACAGTGCGTCGTTCACTACTTTACGGGAGCAAAGCATTAAACAGTTGAAGTGCTCGCGTCCATTGCCTGCGGGCCATCAGAACAGCCTAAACGGCTGCGAGAGGCGCTTTACCCAGAAAGAGAGCATGACACTGATTCCAAATCTGCAATCATGTAATGATCAATGCATATTTTGGAAACTTTACCTTTTGACTTATAATTTGAACGTCAAATTGACCCTGATGATCACATGATCTTTTCTTTCCCCGCCATGAAACGTAACCACTAACATGTTCTCTAAAACATAAACATTTCAGAGATGTTCTATTTTTTGGTTCAGCAGCAATAAGTCAAACCCTCAGATTTTCAATGAATATTCAACAAATATGCAATGAATATTCATTGAGAGTTGAATATTCATTGAGTAATCATTGAAAGTTGAATATTCATTGAGTAGTCATTGAATATTCATTGCAAATATAGGGTGTGGGTACTTTGATTCCTTATTGCTGCCAAACAAACAAAAAAATGTACGTTTCTGAAACTTATCTGTTTTAGAGAAGATGTGAGAGATTACATTTCCTGAATTTTTTTAAGGTCACACGATCCACAAGGTCAATTTCACAGTCAAATTATAGGTCACATTTTATTCGATTTTTTTTCTCTTCCCGAAAGCATTTACAATGGCCGGCAATAATACGTGGTTTTTCAGTTTTACGATCCACTGTTGTTTAGATATTCATTGGGGGAGGGGGGGGTTGTCATGGAACAACCCATTTGTAAAATTTGTTTTCTTCTCCACACACAACTACTTCACTAATTCTAATTCACTAAAAAACAGTGAAGCACACATTGCTTCTTTTTGGGGTACGGTTCAGTATGCGAAGCCGGGACTGAAGACATGTATCATTTTTTGCCTCGTGAATCTAATGATTTCAACTTTTAAAGTAGCAAAGTTGTTTTTCACAATTAGAATTTCACATACACTTGAATATAAGAATCGCTATAAAACAAGAGAAAATTAAAACTACTCAACGGAAATGAATGTGTACATCTTCCACTTTCAGGATCTTCAGTGAGATTAAATGTATTGCGACAGTGACAGTTTGAGTATGAAACTGATGAATTCACTTCATTTCCTGTTGGTAAAACTTGTTTTGAATTTAGAACAACTATCTGTCTGTTCGACATTGGCGCTTCCAATGGAGTTGCAAAAAAAAGTTTCTCTCCTCTTACTAGGAATGAAACAAATGACAAGTGCAGCTGGCGCACTCCACCCGAAGCCGCCTCTTCCAACTCTATAATGATGCATAATCAGTATTCAGTTGATTAAAGCCGTATGCAAATCTTCCGCCGTCTCGTTAGAAATGCAAGACTTTGAAGTCCTTCGAGTGACGCATTTCACACCGGGACGGAATGAAAGCTTTCTGCATAATTTAAAGGGCTCTATAAATATTTATCAGCTCATTAGCATATTAATTGGATGTCTTTTGGAGGGCGATAGGAAAAAAAACAGGGAATAAGGAGGGCGGTGAGGAGCTGCAGAGGGAAGGTGAGCGCATAGCTAAAAATTAATTAGGTAAGAGCAGGTAAAGGCTGGAGTTATCCCAGACAGCAGAGTAAGGGCCTGTTGGTTGGCTATTCATGCAAGAGTGGCTACTGAGATTCCAGAGAATTCATGGGCCCCGGGGATAGGCAGTATTATGAGGATTGCTGTTGGGATGTGAGGGTACTCAGTCAATCGGAAAGAAATAACTTTGCATTAATGCAACACAAGCATGTCATTACTTATAGGACACCCTGTGGCTCAAGCATTCCACAGCCAGTGGGTGGCAAGCAGACTGCTGCCGATGTTTATGAAGTGGTTGTGGAGGGGGATTAGCATATTTAGATTGGCTTTTACATTTCATTAGTGTTTCACTTTTGAACACGCTTTGAATTCGTTTTAGCCAGTGTGTTAATACGGCGGGGGAAGCGTGTGGTGTGCGTGTGTGGGAGGGGGGATGCACATGTGTCCAGTGAAGCCCCAACGACGAGACTGGAATGTGTGGGACAGTCCGCAGGGGGAGGAGCTGAGCAAGTAACAGCTTTATTCAACTTCTTCACCCGAGCCCCCGTCTGCCTGACAAGACGGATTTTGCATACTAGTCAAACAAACCCAACAGTAACTAGTATGTACAATATCATGGCAAAGCAAACACATTTGTCACTAAAAGTAAATACAGTGAAACACCACACATTCCCAGTTCAGCATCCGAATGTTATTTAGGCTAGTAGGCTTGCTGATATTATTGATGACGTAATGCGAAGGCGGGTTGTGTTGAATAATTTAACTGCTGAATGCAATCATATCGGTAGCAGTCTCGTATCTCCATTTTCAGGGGAAGAAAAAAAAGAGGCATGTTCATCGAGCCTTTCACATTGCACTGTCAAAGAGAACAAAACATTTTCAACGATGTACCCTGGTCAATGGTGGGCAAAAATAACAGACTCACGTCAGGGCTCCAGACTGCGACCAAAATGGAGGCCTAAGCAACCTTTTTTTTTTTGTTTGTTTTTTTAACATGGGTGAGTCAAAATTTAATGTGGTTGCCCATACATTTTAATGCTCCCTCCAACACAAGCACTGTATTACACATTGCAGGTAAAAGTCACCACCGTTTTCAGTGCTCTATAGTTTCCGCATCGTGTGCACGCTGAATGCTTTTGACTTGCTCATGGACCGCAGATGTGGACGATGTTTCATTCACATTATAGTTCACAGCATTTACACCAGCATGGGTTCCACTCATGCGCAATTGGTTCACGCATCCCCATCCATCAACACCAGCATTTATACTTTGCCATGTGTGACTTACTGCAACCTGCAAGGAGTGAAGAAAAGCAAAGCTTTAACGCTTGAAGACAGGATAAAAGTAATACAAATGAAAGATGAAGGAAGCAAAACAAAAAACATTATGCAAGAAAATGATGTAAGTGAAAGTAAATGCTGATCGTAAATTTCTCAATGTTTTTCCTTTTTTTTCTTTCTACGTTGGCTATAGGAAGTGTCAAATAAGCGTATGCTCATACTTATGCACTGTTGGAGTAAAATAAAGAGTACACATACGTTTGTGTGTGTGCGTGTGTTTGTTTACATCTGAGATAAATTTGCTCTTATGAAATGTCGCCTGTTGTGAAAAATTTCTTGCCGCAAACATGATTTCGTTGTAGAGGAGTTTCACTGTAGATATTTTAGGAAACTACACTGGTATTCTCTGCAGCTGCAAAATTAAAGCCACCAGCCAATCTGAGGAAACACAGTGCATCACATAAGTCAATTGCAAGCTGCTACGTTTCCTGTGTGAATTCGACATTTTGTGAACAGAAGTTGAAGTTTCTTGATTGCTCACTTTTTTTTTTTTTTTTTTTAATCCAAACCAAATCTCAGACTTTTGTTTGGCATGGGTGATGTTCATAGCATGGGACAGAGACTGCAAAAGCTCAGTGTACATAAGTTATTCAGCTGGTCGATGTGAGAAAGAAAAAGACTGCTGCGGAACAACGCATGAGACAATTACCCCGCATAGAGAATTTTAAATGGCTCTCTCATTAGCACAGTTATACGACAAAGGCTGTCAGTGGTTAATGCGAGCAGAGAGATTCAACACGAGACAGAGACCAAACATAATTAGTCCATCCACATTCCCCTCAAGCGCCTATAATCTTCATCATACACGCGGCGTACATCAAGATAACGTGTGTATGTCTGAACAGTGAGCTGACTGTGAAACATGCTGGACATTATTATCGGCAACTTTAAGCTTGAGGGAGTTAACTGTTCAAATACAGGCTGTGGCCTTCCTGCGTGGAGTACAATACAATCTTTATTTATAGAGCGCGTTTTGACTGATGAGAAGTCACTCCCCCTCTTAAAGTCAGCTGGAATAAGCTACAATTCATCCATGACCATAATGAGGATAAGCAATACGGAAAATGGATGGATGGAGTTAATAATCAAACAATGTAAAAAAGTGACATCGTGTAGGATTCAAACAAACATTTCTGGAAAAATCCCAACTGGCACAAAAACGGCCGTTCGGCAAGCAAAAGTTTTGTTTATACTTTGGCTTTTTGGGGATCCCACCATGGCGGGCTATGATCGATGGACAAAGAGGAGAAATGTGATGACAACTACTGAAAACTGAATCAGAATTAGCAGTCCATGTGTACTGGCTACTTCCTATTCAAAAAATTGCCTGATTTCTAA